ATGGTGATAATTCATGCTGTTGGCGATGTGGGCTGAGTAAAGTAGGCTGTGGTGGTGGTGGTGGTGGTGGTGGTGGCGGCGGCGGCGGCGGCGGAGGTGGTGGTTCCACATGCTGGTTATTGGTCGTCGTCGTAGTCGTCTTTTGAGCTTTTGTTTTACTGTAAGTCTCCAAAACTTGTTTCCTTGTGCGTTCAGGAAGAGCAAGTAAGAATTCAGGATCCAATTGAGACCAAGGTGGTAAATCCGGTTGAGAAATATGGAAATATTGAGAAGAAAAAGACTCGGAATGTTGTTGTTGCTTTTGTTGTTGTTGTTGCTTTTGTTGTTGTTGTTGCTTTTGTTGTTGTTGTTGCTTTTGTTGTTGTTGTTGCTTTTGTTGTTGTTGTTGCTTTTGTTGTTGTTGTTGCGATGGTGATGATGGTTGCTGTTGTATGTGTTGTTGTTGTTGCGGTGGTAATGATGGCGATTGTTGCTGTGGATCCTGGATGGAGGATGTGGTATTGTCCAAGAATTCAATCTTGTGCGTCTTTGATAAATCTTCTTGCACATTCTTTGGTAACTCGGCAAAAATGGATGGATCAACATGGATGACAGGCTTCTCATTTGCCACTGGAGTCGTAGTCGGATTAAGAGATGATGGTGGTTTAGATGGCGATGATGGTGCTGTAATAATGGTTGTTGGTTGTCGTTCCGGAGATGGAGTGGATAATGGTGAAATCTGTAGCCGCTCTTCCTTGTCTGGTGTCCTCTCTTTGATTGGAGCAAATTGTAAGGTGTTTTGCTTGCCAACGTTGCGAATATCTAGTTTCTGTACTTGGATACCAATGCCTAAAAATACATTAGCTTGAATGATATACACACATTTTTGTATTCTTACCTCGCAAATCAGCTGGATCAAAACCAAAAGACGATAGCATTTGATATGCGTGATTACCAATCACTGATGCATCATCCGTAAACCGGTCAAGAACAATGCTTTTGGAGAAGCTGTCACATTCACCACATCCAAGTCGTTTTGCTGCTTCACCCGCACTAGGATGCCGCCGTAAGATCTTGACAGTGATGCTTTTTCCACGTTGCTGAATATTCTGTAATCGTCGTGATACTTCTTCTCCCAACTCCATGACAAATTTCTATGCACATCATTAGATACATGTAGACCCTTTTCCAAATACCCGATTTGCTTCATTTACCTTGACCTGGTCCTCGTTTTCAAATCGAACACCCCACTACAGCAATGGATCAGTGATGATGGTTATTATTGACATCATGCATGATAACTTACGTTGACATCTGCACTGACGGATTGTCTTTGTTGAAACATTTGGAGTTCGCGATCATCCATGCCTCGTGAATAGTTGTAAAGCATCTTTCCAGTCTTGGGCCCAAGGTAGTGTTGCAATCTTCCCAAGGGGATCTTTGCCAATTCGCCCACATGATTGATACCAAGATCCTCTTGAATCTTGCTTGCCATACGATAGCCGACACCAGGTAAATCCGATACATCCAAAGGTGCCAAAAACTCAACGGCCTGATCCTTTTTGCAAAAGTACTGTCCAGCAGGCTTTGCCTTCTTTGTAGCAAGACGTGCCAAAAGAATATTGGGTCCAATGCCGATACTAACTTCACATTGCGTCTTTTCTCGAATCACTTGGCGTATCTCCTTGGCGAGCTCCAAAGGGTCACCACCATTGCTTCCATCCACTTCAATCAACGCTTCATCCACACTGACAGGCTGCAGTTGCTCGGCATATCCAAAGAGCGTCTCATAAAACATCTCCGAAATGGCCTTGTACTTCTCAAACTCGTATGGAATCACTTGAAGTTCAGGACACTTTTTCTTGGCAGCACCAATATGCATCCCATTGTAAAGACCAAAGGATCGTGCAATGTAGTTGCATGAAGCGATATCACTCGACGAATTCTGTTGACGGCCTTGACCATGTGCTACTGCTACAGGCTTTTCCTTTAAATGTGGCCGATCCAAGAGTCCCACGGATGCGAAAAAGCAATCAAAGTCAACATGCCTTTATACATAAAGATGTGAGCAACAGGGTCATCCATCCATCCACGTGATAACATACTTACATGACAATTCTTGGGCCTGAAGATCGCTTTCGCTTTCCCAAGGTGTACTTTTGTTCCATTTTCCCAACCATGTCCTTTAGCTCGGCACGCCATGTCGATAAATGATGCAAACGAGAAGACTCGTAGAACTTTTCAATAAATCCAGGTTGCGCTGATGTATTCTCCTTGTTCCATGGATTGGCCAATAATGCAGCATTGAGCGTCTTGCCTTCAGGTTGTTGCTGCTGCTGCTGCTGTTGAAGTGGTTGCTGTTGCTGAGGTTGATTGAATACCAATTCTGTTTGTGCTGACTCCTTGACGATAACACGATACTGTGGCCATGGCTGAAGTTCGTTGGCTTCAATGCTGTCGGTGATCCAGCTAGGCTTGACGACCTTGTACGCCCTACGTATCGATTCATTGTTTGAATACGCCTTGTGTGACAACATGAACGAAGTATATCTTTTACCTGAACTCGTGCAACTTTGACTGCGTCAGGTTGGAGGCAACGATATGAGTAACACTTGACTTTTTCACTAGACCTAAAGGTTAGCACTTGCCATGCATAAACTGCCACACCCAAGACTTACAGTAATGCTGGTAGTTCCCGCCATGAAGGATAATCAATCGTCTCAATTCGCTTTGTGACGGATTCGTATAGCCGTTAATGTAGATCGAAAGCCCTTGAAAGATCTGTGGTAGCGTATCTTGGGTAGCAGTGTGTTCTCTAGAAATGAGAGAGGTGTCAATGGGCGCATTGCAATGCCTTCAACAATAAACTCCATGACGTACAATGCTCTTTCCTGATCCTTCAGCTTTGCTTGCTTGTTTTGCATGTACTTGCGGAATTCGCCAAACTTGATAGCACCATAATGATCATCCATGGAGGAGGAAGAGAAGGAGAAGTGAAAGAATGAGAGGCGGTGAAACAAGGCTGCGACAGCAAGTCGTCAATGGGATAATGAAACAGCCAAAGTATTCTAGATCGGTGAACACAATGATGACTCTTTACAATGAATCATGTGTGCTTGCGTGTGTGAGAGAGAGGGGTATTCTACTTATCACGCCACATTGCAATGGTACAACGTGTCCCTGCTGATCTCCCTTTTCTTTGCATTGCATTTGCATTGATCTTCAGGTGAATTGTTCCCCCTTTCCTTGTACTACGCTTGAGTCTTCTGACCCAATAGGTAACCCGATCCATACTTTCGGAATGCATACAACAATAATCTGTCAATCATTTCAAGGTGTCATGATAGCACATAGGCATAGTCTTATATTTCAATAACTTATAGAAAGGTATACATATGAATTTATACTATGGATGATTTATCTCAAGAGAGAAAGGGTTACATCACCATGGACCCTGGCACGCAATTCGATATCAACATCAAGGTTGAGATCCAAGCGAAGTTTGAGAGGGCTATTATCGGGCTGGGCTACGTTTTGGGCAGTGTTGGCCACTTGATTGGCCGTGTTGGTTACTTGATTAGCGGCATTGTTGACTGTGCCAACAGCACCATCCACAATACTTTCTTCATCGGACACAGGAGGTGCTCTTCTGCTACGACGATTACGTCGATTTCTTCTTCTCGAGCGTTGACGTCCACCACCACCAGCCGAGGGTGCTTCAGATATTACTGATTCCTCATCTTCTGAATATTCACGTTGTTGTTGTTGTGGAGCTCGTCGTGGTGCAGCAGCAGCAGCAGGAGGGGGTTGTCGAGGTCCTGGTGAACGTCCACGACTGACTTGAGATTCCATATCAGAATCATGTTGTTGTTGTTGTTGCTGTCGTTCAGCTGTTCTTGCAGACATGGTTGTTGCTATGGTTACAGAAAAAGAGAAAATCAGACAACCAAATGCCACATATTTAAATGGGTGATCTGCTGCTTATGACGCAATGGCTACAGCATATACAATTAGGCGATTAGCAAGAAAAATCGATCGTTGGTGGATTCATCAATTTCAAAATCCAGGAGAGATCTTACCATTGACCATGTCTCACATGGGATGGGCGCTTGACCCCATAGCCCAGATGATTTTACCCGTTATAGAAAAGTAAACATTGTTTCCATGATGATCTTTTGTGCATCAATAATGCAGCCCGCCATAAAATTTGGGGGTGTGTGCGGGTGATGATAATAGACCACGCTGTTTCAAGTATGAGTGACGCCATGGCCATCTAACTCAGCTTTCTATACAGCATTATCCTTATATCATTTCCCTTGAAAAAGTGAGGGATCCCAACTGCGTTTCCCTTTTCCATCATTCTACTTATCCTCTTACTCTTATACGTACGCTCCAAAGTACCCAAAGAAGAGCGTGAACCTGTTACAGAACAAGAAAACCAATCACAGCAAGAACAACAACCCAACGACGATACTACTACTACTACTACTACAGCTCCAAAGGAACAAGAACAACAACAGCAGTCCATAGCACAAGGACCTACTCAAGAAACTAACAAGCGTCGTAAAAGAAAACGAAACCGAAAAAGAAAAATGGCAGGCGATCGAGTCAATCAACAAGAGGATTATTCATCCTATCAACGTGCTGGTGGTGGTGATGATGATCGATATTACAAAAAGAAGTCCTCAAAGTATTACAACAATGGCGAAAAAAGAAAAAGTAGCAGGCGTCGTTATCGTGAAATGCAAGATCAAGACTACCCAGACTCTTACAATGGTGGTGGTAGCAGTAGCGGAAGAAGAGGCAAGGCTAGAGACCACCATGATGATACAAGCAACTCGATCGTATCCACTGATGGTGTTGGAGGTGGATCATCTGATGCAACTAGTAGCACCAAGCGTTCGTCTCGTAGTGGTGGAAAGCGTTCAACAAGCGATCGTCATCGCACATACGAACAAAGCAATGATCCTTTGAATGATAACAGAGAAGGAGAACCTTATCGTATCGACAACTTATCAAGCGATCGAGTTGATGATGCTGAGCAAGATGTGGATATCCCTGACCAAGGTTTTGCTCCTCCTCCACCTCGTATCAGCAATGAAAAGAATACCACATTGCCTGAAAAGTTTCTATCAAGCCCTACCATGGAACAACTTGGATTGGATGAAGAAGACACCCGCAAATTCATGCAAGCCTTCAAGGCCTATAACAAATTAATGGCCAAGGAACATATGAAGCAAACGAATGGTGATGACCAGGACGCACTTTTACCACCCATGGATGATGAGAAGTATGACCCACAGCAAGAAGAAGAACAACCATCCAAGGAGGAGGATGATCCATCACTACCACAACAACAATCTGATGATGGCTCCCACAAGCTGATTGAGAATAATGTCAAATATGATCAAAAGCCGTCCAAGCCAACCTTAAAGGACCTCGTGGGCAAAAAAGTGGACAAGGAAGGCAACGTTGTGGATGATGAAGGCAAGGTGCTTGGCAAGGTTTCCAGAGACATGTCCTATCTCGACGGCAAAACGGTGAATGAAAATGGCGATATTGTTGATCCTTCTGGTAATGTTTATGGCAAGGCAGAACCCGTCGATCCACCACCTGCATCAACAGCCAACAACAAAAAGAGTGGTTCATCACTTGCTGTGCGTAACGGTGATGAAGACGTGATCGTCAATGTGGATGCTCATAAAGGTGGTATCTCTTTTTCAATCCATATTCCTCGTGCAAAGTAATGGTATCAAATGTGTGTATATATAAATAAAGGGTCATCATTTATTGTTGTCACATCATCATAATTTAACTGAGCAAGGCCAAAGTAAGATCACCATGGACGTGAGCACTAACACGGACTTCAGCTTCCAAATTCAAGTCCAAACGAAGAGCACCGGTGGTTTTGCCTGTAGGTGGAGGAGGGAAGCGTAATTGCATTGGTTCTCTGTGTGGACCAAACAATGGGCCATGGCGTCTTGGGAAAGGAGATGGGCTTCTTGGTCTTCTTTCACCCACCACATACGAGTCAACATCAGAGGAAGGAGGAGAAGCGTTACGTTGAGAAGACTTGCGACGTTGTTGCTTGTCTCGAGATTGTTGTTGGGAGGACATGGAAAGGTACAAAGAAAAAGAAAAAAAGAAAAGAGTGTGATTATTATAGGCATCCCCTTTTTCTACATTACGGAAGCGGTTGATCTCACACTTTGCTCTTCTACCACCCCCCCCCCAAACCAAATGCCGTCATTGTACCCATTGTTGAGAAAACAATGCTAAACATATGGATCCAAAATTTCATGACCCGGTTGAATGACTTTATGATGAAGTAATTTACATTGGTAGGCTTCGGAAAATAGAACGACGCATGGTTGGTCATTGAAAGTTGCATTTGATCCATGCAATGCAACAACAAATGATCCCCACACACACGTGCTTGTAAACTTTGGTACTATCAAGATCATGATACATTTACACTGCAGGAACTAAAATGCATGCATGCATGCATGCATGAATCTCTTGTGATCCTGGATTGAACACGATGGATGATACATGATCATTTGGCATTGTTGTTGTTTCAGCCGTACATAAAGGATGATGATCAAAGACGTTTTCACATGTGTGTAATGTCCATGCTATTCTAACTAGCATATACTACTACGTTTATTGTGTGTGTACATGTTGTGGGATCTAATGGTCATGTCTATGTGCAGGAATGATCTTTGCTTCTCCTTGGTCACCCTGTAGTAATCCATTCTTGACCTTTTCAAAATACATTCTCAAATCTTGGCCCATGACGGTGATTTTGACTTGGACATCCTTTGCTTCCTCTAAGGTTTCTTCATGTTCGACCTCGGTCAAGGTATGACGACCAAACGCATGATTGAGGATATGCAATCTTGACGATTCTCCCAGACGAATAAAGCCCTTGATGCGGTAAATGTCCTCTTTTGGCATAGTTTGAAGGAAGGCCACCAATTGATCTTTGCTGAGGGATGATGATGATGATGACGAGCCTGCTGCTGCTGCTTCGTGGACATGTTGTATCACCTGGATCAAATCCACCTCGTTCTCTTGGTGCTTTGGATCAAATACCATCTCATCCAGTGAATGCGTCTTGTTGTAAGCAACTGAAAAGAGCTGCGTGTCCAAGCCAAAAACAAGATCAGGTGATACGCCATTAAGATCGCTCTTGACTTTGGGGGTATCCGTATTCAAATCGTTGACATGGTCGATCACTCGGTCGAGATCTTGTTCGGATACCTTTAATAAATGTTAGTGGATGAATGAGGATGAGGATGATGACGATAGTTTACCTGCTCGTGCTTGTTTAATAAAATGACATCCGTGTACTGAGCTTGCATTTTGGCCGTGTAGCTTGTATCTTCATATCCCTTAAAGTTTTCACAATCGATCACAGTGACAATTGAATCCAACACAAAGCCATCGCCTTCCATTTCTCGGATTTGCCAGGCAATCGGGGCTGTAGTGGGTTGACATCATTTAGATCCTCCATGTTCGTCGGTGTTTTATCATTCAACTTGCCTGGAAATGCTGATCCACTATGTAGTAAAACATCGGTAATATGAGTGAGCACTCATCCTCAAGCAAGAGTGTGAATAAGCTTACCTTGTTTCTACAATGATTCTATCAGGATTGTATTTCTCTATTAAAATAAAGGTACGTGTGAGTATACAAAAGCTGTAAAATGTATGATGATCTTGGTGATTTTACCCTTCAACTCGAGCAAGGCCAACTTCATTTGTCCCACCAGAACGCAGCAAAGACATCCATTCATCATCTCTTGTACACCAATGTTGGTTTCCTTGGCAAGCTGGCTATCGACTATACGACAAGGTTAGATACATTGATTGTACAACGGTGCCTTTATGTACTTGCCTGCAATATCGCCAAACTCGTTCTTTAAGAGACATGTCTTGTATTCAGCAGGCAGCCGTTTAAGGAGCGAGAGAATCGTGGTCGTTTTGCCTTGCAAGAACCGTCAATGAGACACACAAATGACGCTACTGATCTCCATTGTTGACAAGCATACCACTACCGAGGAATCCAGTGAAGACAGTGATTGGAATAGGCTTGGACATTAGGAAGGAAAAGAAGAACGAACTATTATCGGCCCTGAAATTTGGAAGACGATAGAGAGAGAGAGAGAGACAGGCGTATTTGACAACGCATGTTTTAGGGCGGGGATGAATGAATCCATCTACCTCTCTTTGTCCATAATCGATATGTACCCATCATTCCCTCCAATGGCATGCTCTTCCGTCAACAAGGTGACCATTATCCTGCCCAGCTATAGTAGCAATACCCAATTATCCTTATACCCATATTCACATCCATAAAAATTGGTTGCATGTAATATATGTATATATATTTTTTTCGTTATGGTGTACGTGTGTGTTTGTGTATGTGTGAGTGTGTCTGGTTGAGTGAGTGTGTGGTGTGTGCGTGTGTGCGTGAATGATGACTGCATTCATTCATGATATCGTGGAAGCGCCGTCAAAAGAGTGTCAAAACCATTAAGCACGAAGGAACTTGCCGACAATGTGCAAACCAAAAACTGAAGCAATAAAGGTCAAGGAAAGAACCAACACAACAACAGGATCACTATAAACGCAACATTAGTTACATTTCGAGATAGATAGGGCGCGTGTTTTAACATACACTCGAAGTCCTGGAGAATCGTCAGAGTAAATACGCATCATGCTGGAAGTGCTACCACCAGGCATAGGTCCACGGGAAGCAGCAGTATTGGATCGTCCAGTAACGCGTCTCCTATTCATCCCAATATGAATATCAATCCATCTTTGCCATACACCTTGTATAGTCACTTGTTCTTACCTGACAGTACCCTTGGGAGTGGTTGACGACGACGATGAATCGGCCTACAGAAAAGAAGAGATCGCCAACAGGATGAGCCTTCAATCTAGACGACCACAATAGCCTTTTTGTATAACAACAGAGACAACTTACCATTTGTGTAGAGATGAAAGGTAAAAGTGAGCGATGAAGCAAAAGAACAAACAGCTGTATGGGCGGGCGCTTCTCGCGTGTGCTTTGAATTGGGCAGGTGGGCAGCTATGATTGGTCGATTTCTCAAGTCCAATAAGACGCCGAATGCTCAAATCTCCTCCAGCACCTCCACCTCATCACCACATCCAAATACCTTGTCAAACCATGCGCACATCTACTAGAACAGTGGATCTCCCATATTATTACTTGTAGTAGTTGTTCTTCTACCATAAACCTCTTTATAAACTTGGCATTCTTGAACATAGATCGTTTAGTCAATTTGAGGAATCATCCATCTTCCCTCAATGCTATGCATTTCGCTATAAAAGCAGTAATTGCGTTCCTTGTCATAATGCTCACATCCAACTTGCAGGTAATTCTTGGGATAATAGGACACTAGTCCTTTTCTTCATGGCTGCTGCTATTAGGTACGGGATCAATTATTATGCGGGGAAACAAGTGGTTGCATAGCAACGCATCCTCGTAATACAATGACATAGGAGATGATAAAGCGTTGCATAGCAACAATAGTAATCACAATGGCCATTCTTGTTTTGATAGATCAGCACGAAAGTTTATTATAGAGAGCCAAGACCATCATGCAATGTGACAGCCAACAGCCAATGGATCGCGTTTATAGGAGAAAAGGCCCCGACGTGACTAGCGTCGTAGGAAGAAGAAAGCTCTGGAGCTGCCGCAGCTTGCTCAGCACACACACCTTTTCCACGCCATGCAGGAGCAAGATTGGAAGACCCTCGCCGTATGTTATGGAAGCCCCCATTGTTTATTATGGCTGACACTAACGCTAGTCTATGGCTATCATAGAGCGAAATCCACGCCAAATGCATTGCATACGACTACTCTGATTCTGGAGGCAAGTGTATAAAGGGCAACCCAACCCACGCTACAGATCCAATCAACTAACGATCGACGCCCCCACAATGATATAGACTATACGCTCTCTGAATATATCACCAATCTCTTGCAAACCGGAAACCAGATCGATCAGATTAACCAGGAACTCCAGCAGTGTAAGTGGACCTTTTTTGGCGCGTGTGAGAAACAAGTCATTGACCTGATGTATTGTATGTTATATAGTGGTTGGATCAGATTATGGTAATTGGAATGAATGGATTACATTGATGATGGTGGCGTGTATTGATTAAATGTCTTTTATAGATGTCAATTTGACAGCATGGATGTTTTCAAGGATCGAAGAAATGCAGAATTCCACGCCTGTCAAATCTGCACCAGCAGCACCACAACAACAAACTTCTTCACCCAAGCCAAACCGGATATTCGCTCAAGCGATTGGAGGTTTAAATGGTGGATCTCCATCATCTTCGAGACGCGAACAACGTGAACGATCCCGATCTCGATCCCCTGAACCTAGAGAACGACGTCCACGACAACGAACACCTGAACGACCAAGAGCATCGTCGCCCTCTTCTTCTTCATTCACCATTTTATCACGATTGGGACGTTCTAATGATCGACAAGTATCTGTAGCTTCATCAGATGGTAAGTTGGATGGGATGGACACGTACATTGATAGGTGTGCTGATGCTAGGGGATACTTTTTTGTAGCTCGACCTTCCGTTTTTGATCGATTGGGAGCAGCCAAGCCTTCATCCACTCAAACTGCCAATCGTTGTAAGTATTGGCCTGCTTGCAACCAAGGCGAGCAATGTCCCTACTTTCATCCCAAGACCATTTGCCCGTATGTTGCTTTTATTCTTTCTCTTTTTTTTATGTGACCTTTTGTTTTCTATTTCGTTTACTTACGCATCTATCGATTGAAATCTCTCTCTCTAGTGATTTTCCAAATTGTTCAAAGGATGCATCTGAATGCATGTTTATTCATCCCGAAGTTAGCCCATCACAACAACAACAACAACGAGGAGGAGGACCTCATCCTTCAGCATCTTCCATCATGACAGCACCAGCAAAAAAACCTTTTCCTTGCCGATACTTTCCTTATTGCACCAATCCTGTTTGTCCATTCATTCATCCAGACCCATCATCCATGCCTATGGCACCACAGCAATCATCTCAACAACCACAACAGCAACAACAGCAATCATCGACGACGCCAACCAAGGTGCCTATCCCATGTAAAAATGGTGAGAATTGCAAAAGACCTGGATGTCATTTCCTTCATCCTGGTGAAGAAAATCCTTTGGCAGATGTTCTTGTAAGTGTGTGTGTGTGGTTGGTTACCATTATCATGGATCAAAACTCCTCATCAATCTTTCTGTGTAGTGTAAATATGATGGTGCTTGCACTCGACCCAATTGCTTTTACAAGCACACAGTCCCGCCCATGTCCCATTCAGGAGGAAACAAGAGCCTAATCCTTAACAAGAAGAATGACATGAGCCAACGCCAATTTTCCGTGCAAGATGATCAGGTCGAGCGAATGGTCGTAGGTGAAAGTGCCGACTTGATCAAAAACAACAATGGTCAAGCTGAGACTACTACTGCTACTACTGCTACGTCCAATGGAGAGCCGAATGCCGCTTAAGATTACTATTATTATATAACTATAAACCCTGTGAATATCTCTCTCTCTTCTTATATAAAGGAATATTTGGTGTATTGTGTCGGTGATGCATTATTCATATCCATGGTATCTGATAGCGTATATATAATGTGTGTGTTACCATGTGGTCCATGTTGTGGGGTCAAAGGTTGATAATCGAAAAGCAAGAATCAATGTGTAATAAGCTTGGGTCATTTTCTATCATGTGTGTCTTTGTTGGTACGCCTACTCATTTATATTTAGGAAATGAGCTTGGAAATGAATCATAAAAGACAATGGAAAAAAAGAACAATGGCCACCACTTTGACTGATAAGCGGTATCTTGTAGAATGGCCTGATTTTTTATGTCGTACACGGCCACCATATATATCACAAAGCCGTTTTCATGCCAGACGCCTGGTACCGTCATGGATGTTTCTAACATGTTTATAGTGGCACTCTTCAACCCTACCTCTGCAACGTGTCGATCCTTTCCTTTTTGGCCACCTTGTGTCATCCACCAATGTTAACAACAATGGGCAATCATCAACATTTTCCAATGCCGTATCCCTTTTCTTTCCTGTTACCTTTTTTTTTCCTAAAGAACCCAAGATTATCACATTCAATATCCTACCTTGTTCCTACAACTAGCGTTGCGGGTATACAACATCATGAGCGATCCATCTTCATCACCAGCACCACAAGGACCAGATGGCTTGGAAATCATGTCAGAATCTATCTCTCTCGCTTGCATTTCTATTATGGCGGTGGCATTGGGCTCGAAAACAAAAACAGAACACTTTAATACCATCACTTATGGTCGTATACTTGTACTCGCCTTGTATCTCTTTTCATGGACATTTTCTGCAATCTCCATCGTCGTTGTTTCTACCAATAACAGTAAGTGGTTGAGAAAATTAAACTCATGGTTGCTGATGATGCTTACGTAGATAACATTGTTTCATGCACGCTTGGCATCATCATATGCGTCATCTTTTATGCTGCAACAAAGATTGTAATGTACTCATGGTAATGATTGCTTCGCTAGGTCATTGTGTATTCAGCTAACATGAACCCATATAGGCTTATTGAACGCGTGCATTTGGTATCCGATGTACGTGGCTCTCGTTTTTCGTCATGGCAATACCGCTTTCATCTTTGTCTTTTATGCCCCTACATTGGCATCTTTGTGCTGATGGTAATGCTACCATCCTAGGTCGAAACACATGTCATACACAACTCACGGCAAGGAACTTTGTTTTTTTTGCATAGGTTACTTTTCGCAATAATTTGATCCTTGAAGATGGTACTTGTATTATCGGTCTTCAAAGCATTTCAAGCATTCCTTTGATGGTAAGGAAAGCGTTTGACATTGTTCTTCACGTGACTTACGTAGTTGAATGCCTTTAGTGTTACGATTTCGTAAGTCGCAATGTTGATGTTTTGCACGACGACGGTGGTTAAATGATGTCGATCACTCACTCAGCCTGTCCCACATTGCTAACCGCTTTCCATCAACATTACATAGTTGTTGAATCTCTACCTCACTTTTTTATTTGTCAAGCCTCTTATTACTTCTGGGATCGGTCATCATGGGGGACACCATAATTGGCGGTCCACTCGTCTTTACAAGCTCACGCGGCGTACTGTGGTGGCATCGGTTGTTTGTCTTTTTGTCTCACTTGCCAATATCTTGACGCTTGCCATAGCTCAGGGGCATGAACGTGGCTTGATGTGCTTGTCCATGTGCACAGCTGATGTAACCATCAATGTCATTACCGTGCATTGGGTAGGTTGTAGTAGTGATGTTGTTGATGAGAACAACCTTTGACACACGACCCCTCTTTACCTCCTACATAGGTTACATCCCCTCATATCAAAATGTCTGTGCGGAACGCAACCACGTTGGGAAGTAATAACAACGACTACAATAGCAGCAGCAGCCAGCAACAAAGCCCAACCACAGTCGCAGCAGCAGCGGCAGGCGTCAATGGTAGTCTTTATCAAGTCAACAAACACTTGTATGATACTATGCTAGAGCCATCAACACACCATCACCAAGATCCAATGACAGATACCGAAAGCATGCATTCGATTCAAGTATCTCAAACCAGCAGTGTTAAGCCCTTACAGCAGGATGCCGCCTAGCAACAAAGGCTCCCGCCTCTTCTCTCTCATTATCTCTCTTCACCTTCATTTCATCCACTGATTACGTACATACACTATGATACCATCATCATCACCATCATACCATTCAAACATCATAACAACAACACCCATCATTTTTATGCATATTGGCCTTGCAATGTATATCATTTACCTAGCAACCGCGACCTAGCAACCAGCACGATAAATGTCATAAACACAAATTCATTTCTTTATTGAGCATTTGAACCAGTAAATGGATGTCGTCATAGGCGTGATCATGTAGATGCTTAATTTCAGGCCTCAGCTTGCGATTGTAAAAGGGTGGTCTATGCAATGAATGTATCATGGTTACAATCTCTCTTGGCATCGTTCCCTTGTGTACCCACCACCCTGTTCTTACCTGATGGCATATTCCTTTTCGAGTGCATACAAACGACAAATGTTGCGTACAACAGCACGTTCCATACCACGATAATGCGACGCGTCGATAAGCATTCGTAACGTGTTCTCACCTATCAAAGCATGCTATAAGTTCCCTCCCCACCTCTGCTGGTGCTATACTAAAGCAGCCAATGGAACCTACTTTTGACGGGATCGGCCATGTCGCCATGCTCAAATCGAGAACGAATGCGATCGCGAATGGCTTGTTTATCTTTTGCACGATGACCTACAGCAGCATAACCGGCCTTGAGGAATGTGCGATAGCTTTGAGTGAATGACGCCATGAGAATGTAGGTCTATGGTAGTTGACTGACGGATAGGTAATACGGAGCTTGTTTTTGGAAATGGCAAAAGAATAAAAGCGAGGTTGCACAAGGAAACGACAAAATGCTGATCCGCAATGTACATTCTTTGGAACCCGTTGGTCCTTCCTTTGAGTAACATGAAATGTTCTTTGAATAGACAAGCCCGGTTTTGGATTGGATTGGGGGGAGGGAGGAAAGAGATCTTTAACACACACAAACATGCTCTCACATGTATTCCATCACACCTATTTTCACACACCACCACCACCACCACCACCACAAAGCACTACAAAAATAAGAGATCTGTAGTAGAGTAGAAAGAGTTCAATTGGAGGAGAGAGACAATGAGTGATACATGCAAAAACATCCATTACAAGAACAACAAAATAAGAGAGGTGATATCGTACAATGCGCGGGTATGGGCTATAATAAATGTGTGTAGGGTGGGGGATTATTTCATCAGGACAAAAAAGTAGTCTGTTGGGGATAAGATGTTGGTCAACAACATGTCTCATTTCTGGATACGATGGCATTGCTTGTCATGAACGGGTTTATCAGCTATTAAGCAGCGGTTACTGCAGTAACTCATGGCACGGCATTTTGCACATACCGGCATGGCTCGCTTTTCCTTTCCACAGTGAGCACATGCTGATGCAGCCGATCCATTACTTGATATAGAGCCTCGACGTTGTTGTTGATGGTGGTGTTGTTGATTACTTGAAGAAGAGGCAAGCTCCTTTAAAGAGATTTTGGCAGATTCACGTAAAAGACGTTGTGTTTCAAACACAAAGGACGAGGAGGAGGGACGATGCACAGCAACACATTTTCGGAAATAGACGGCTGCTCTTTCTAATTCTCGGTGCCGTTGATAGACATGGGCTCGGCAATGGTATACCGTGATACGGATGGCGCGACGATAAGCTTCTTGCTCATCATCAATACCATCATCGTTATCATCCTCTGTCACAATGACCGATGCAGGTTGAAGCGTGGTAATAACATGATGATCGGACCCAATGGATTCATCCTTGAGTTGTTTGGCAAAATCCCATAGCGTCTTGGTAAGAGGATGAAACCACCAGGAATCTTGCTGATAAAAAGCATGTTCCAATACCATTTGGCACATTTGAGAAACGAGCTCAAGCAAATCAGCCGAACAAAACACAGGACCTCCTCCAAATCCTCCTTCTGAATGATAGGTGCGTTCCAAAGCTGTCAAGTAATGTTCAGCAACAGCATCACAACGTTGGCATGCCGTGGTTTGTGGATCATGCTTTGCATCCTCAAGATAAGCTAGCTGCAATGTAGCTGCAAGGGATCCTTGTCTTGCTGCATGTTGCCATCTTGAACGTTCCTTTTTTATTCCTGTAGACCCATAACCATCTCTTTTGCCACCACCACGAGAAATAAACCATGAGAATGTCTTGTCTTCATGTAGAAGCTGCTGTTGAGCTGAAGGTGGATGATCCGGTTGTTGTTGTTGTTGTAATCTTGATATAAGCATGGTATGAAAAAAGAGAAAGAGTGAGAGAAAGAGAAAGAGATGAATGACAACAATTTCGTGTGTATTTGGTGTATAATTTATAAATGTTGTTCCTTGGCATAAATGTTCCCTTCCCCCCAACCAAACGATTTCACACCTCCCCACGTGAGGCTTTACTTTCAAGAGACGCACCATAGATACGCTTCGGATAACTACGGATAGCCAAGCAAAATGAAGCGGAGCCTTACAAGTGACATCGTGTGTCTGTGTGGTTTATTGTGGGATATGCAATGTTCACCATCTCCGCTGTGATCATGGCGTAGTAATACTTAGTGGTAATAGCGCCGCGCGAAGAACCTTCGCCACAAAAGAAAGCTCATGCATACGTCTCTTTGTCGTTGTTGATCTACACAATCCAACAAAAAAGAGTAAAGCTTCATTCGTTAGTTATAGTCTTGTCATCCAAATAAAGACACACACATACATAAACACACTAACACGATGGCACAAGTCATTTGATGTCTGTCAACATTCCTCTTTTTAAACCTTGTTGGCTCGTGTATGATGGAGACCATGTTTGTGCAACATGGCACTCTATCCTTGTGGCTGACCAGTAAAATAACACGATTTTCCCTCGTGGATCAAACGAATGGGTTCCAAGAGTCAACATTCGGATTTGTCAATATCCTTGGAGATGACGGATCCATAGACTGAGTTTGGCGTGAATAACAAAAACGCCCCCCTCTTGTTATTCTTTGATCTAGACTAAAGGCGATGTTAAAAAAAGGGGGACAAAGGGTCCACCTACCATGCATTGTTGGTTCATCAATGGTTGGGTTGATCGTCCGACACTATGGTTTTCTCTTTTTTTTACCTCTTTGGTAGTTAAAGTACAAAATTAGCGAAAACACACAACGTGCGGGCGGGCCACACCATGATACATGGGCGTTACACACGATTGGATCCCACATTATCCTTCCTAGTCGTATCTCTATAGCAATGACGAGTTATCAGATACTACGTACGAACCCGATTCGAGCGCGCGCTCTTTTCGTGGTACATCTCTTTAAAATGGCATATAGGTGCTTGGAAAAAGATGATGATGGCCATTCAGATCAGCTGTATTATGATGGATCCATATACCTGGTTCAAGCCATCTTGTTGATGTGGAGAGGTACGTGTTCTTTTTCAACTCTACACCCAACAACAACCCCTTTTCTCTTTATCTCGCTTGTAGCCGATCAACATGTGGTAGAAAAAAGGTCGAAAAGCCGCGGTGTGTTCGGGAATTTCAGTCATGTCCCGTCAATGTCAAACGTATGCAAAAACCCAAAAAGTCGGGGTGCTAGATCACTGGGTTGCACATTACTTGAATTAGCTATTTCACCGTATGCATTACCGGATTCAAGCAATTACCCTTTGATAAGCAAAAAAGATCCGGGTTTTAAAAGATAAAGATGCTACTAAGCAATGTTTCATGCGGAGGGAGGAGGAGGAGTATGTACAAAGTCGAGACCCGCCTGATGGCACCATTGTGCGGTATCAATGAGATGATGGCGATACCTGTCACCATACTTGTATATGCACAATGGGAAATAAGGTTGCCGCCTTTTGTCATACCCAACATGTTATTTAGGGCAAAAAATATCATAACCGGCTCAAGCAAGCATGATATCAAATTCAATGTTACGATGAAAAAGAGAAAGCATATGGTTTCCACCACACCCGGGATAACCCCCCAACAAAACAACATGTGATTTACAGTATTTGCATTGTCTTGCAATGTTATCTATAATCATCGTCCACTACATTAGCGGGATTACGAAGCATAAACAAGCTAAACGCTGAAGCACGCCATTTGGACCTGATCCTTATTATGTACCCTTATCAGCAGCAGTGATCGTATTGTTAAAGCAACGTTGACAATGACGTGTAATTTATATAAAGGTATGAGCAATACAATGAGGATTCCCTTTTTAATCAGTGAGGGTGGTGGTGGTGGTGGTGGTGGTGGTGGTGGTGGGGCGGCTTCTGTTAAGTATGAGCGAACAATGTTAGTAGTGCTGCAAGTATAATCTTAGGCACTGGTGGGTGATGGTTTCCATAAAACATGATGTGCAAAGATATCCATAAAGTAGGTGAGGGGTGAGGGGGGAAAGGGAGAATAGGTGGGGGTATGTGTATCTACTACATCGCCTCTCTAAACCCGATATGTGTTGTATGTATGATTTTCTATTTTACCGCTGTCTCCTCTATTCTCAATCTTCGCACCTTCTCCATAAGACTGTTCATGACATCTTGCAGGGCGGGATCATTCTCATGGGATGAGGGCAGCCTGTTGTTTTCTTGGACACAAATGCTGGATAATTGGTCTGTGATACTGAGGATGGCATCGTTCAACTGTTTTTCGGATTCCTCCTTTGAAAAGAAACGATCTGACAATCCATAGTGTGTTGGCATGCCATGGTTGGTGATATGGTTGTTGGCAAGATGTGTGACGAGAACTTTGGTGATCTTGTTACAGTAAAAGTAAGCAAATCATCACGTGGTTGTCATTCATGCAGCATCAGCATACCGATTGAAGATCTCGATATTCCTGTAATGCATTACTCGTTTCGCTACTCAGGCTCTCTTGTTTGCTGTACAATCGACTTTGTCGTAGATTATCCAATTTCAGCTTGGCGAGAAGCAATGGTGTAAGACGAAATGGATCAGATGCTGGTACACTCGCTCCTACATCATAAACATCCGAATCAGATACCATCCCCTCCATGGATACCACCACTTTTTTTACTTACCTTGCTCCAACAATAACAATACGCATTCAATGTTACCGGCCAATACAGCTAAAACAAAAATAACAATCCCATCAGCATATATAACCTCCAACCTTGTAGTATATACACTACTTACCCATATGCATTGGATGCATGCCATTCTCATCCCCAACACCATTATTCACATCGGCTCCATGCTTAATCAATATCCGTGCTATGTTGGTTGCTTCTTGAAAGTCGTCTTTTCGTGAACAAGCAATATGCAAAGGTGTGCGTAAGAGTCGATCCCGAACAGTGTCTGGATTGATGGCGCTATGCTCGAGAATGTGTTCCACTATAAAAGAAGCGGAAGATTACTTGATGAGTGACGCCATGCGAGTGGTAATAAAGAAAGGCCAAGTTTATATGTACCATGCTTTGCCTGTTTATGCCTGCAAGCATTCAAGAGCTGTGTTTCGACTGTGAGATGCCGTACGAAAACGTCCATGAGGTTGTCGTGTCGATTGGAGCGTCGGTGTATTTTGGATATACGATTCGTATCTTGCATAAGTGAAGAGAAGAAAAAGAAGAAGAAGAAAGGAACGGAAAAGAAAAAAGAAAGGTTGCGTGTAAAGGGAAGGAAGGAAGGAAGGATGGAAGCGGCGGGATTTGTTTTTGCCATGGCTCTCTCCCAATCATGCTGTGTGTGTGTGCGTTAACATGCCCAGCCATTTCTGCATTATGCAAATTACTCACAAGATCACCGATCAGTAAAGTATCCAAGGGCTACCTCATATAAAGAATCCACCCAGCTCTAAGATCAATTGATTACATTTCTTTTTCTTCTCTTTCTTTCATGTCGATTCCTATTCTAAACAAAAATCATACAACACAACATTCTTTTCCTTTATCATGGATGGAGGATGATTACGACGAGGAAGGTAGTACATTATCCATGCAGGGCTCCTTTCTCGTGATCAACAAGGCATGGGAACACAACAACAACAACAACAACAATTTCGATCCTCGTCAAGAAGAATATGACCATGCTGGCCTAGTGACAACTCCTCGTTTAATGTCATCGAGAAGCGTCAGTGTTAGTACCAGCAGCAGTATGGATGATGATTGTAGTAGTAGTATTAGTAGTAGTAGTAGTGATAGTGATAATGATACCATGATCAACATCAGTGCTTCTTCCATGAGAGATTCTTTTCTACATGTGGACCTTGCAGCAAGTACAGCAAACGACTCGGGTCGTGCACAGCATCATCCTTATGCCCGATGGACCCATGAGACCCAAACAGGGGCAAGACAACCACGTTGGTCATTTACTACTACTACTGCTGCTGCTGCTGCTGCGGCTTTAACTCGGCCATTGTGCGGCAACAATAGCACCAATAATATCGGGCCATACGACTTGGCACTACTACAAGAAGAGGATAGAGAAGCCTTCCAAGATGGTGATGTTGATGTGGATGATGATGATGACGACGATCAAACGGTGGTGGATAAGGATGAACAAGAACAAGAACAATTTGAAAAACAAATACCTGACAAACCCCTGCGTCGACCCTCCCTCCTTTCAGCATTATTACTTGGTGGTAGCCACACGGTGGTCAATGGTAGCTCTCCTCCGGTTCATTTAACCTGTGAGGAGAACAAGGAGCAGCAGCCGCAGCAGCAGCATCATCCAGCACTCGATTATTGCAAAAAGAACATCATCAACAACAACAACGATAATTTGTCATCAAGCCTTCAATATTGCGTTGATTGGGAGCAACTTCAAAACGCAGGACCCCTCTTTATTACAACAACTTTGATATCCCAGCAACCTGCTGAACAAATGGCAACAAGTCATTCTACCTTACATTATCGACTTGAGCCATTCCAGAGTGGGTGGTGGTAAGCAGTACATAGTAATAGTAGTAGTAGTAGCAGCATCACCCATACTCATCATGCTGGCAAAACCTTGTTCTTTTTCTCTTTCTTGTTAATCATTTATCCGCATCATGCATTTTGAATTGGACTGTCGATCACTTGTGTGTAAGCGTGTTAAAAATGGATTCTAAGAAAAACACCGCCACGGCAGTAAAGTTGCACTGTGATCATCAGCGATGAGCGGTGTGTGTGTGTGTGTGTGATGAAAAGAATGAAAGAGAGAGCACAATAATCAACTATCCTCATTTGTGCAACATGCTCGTGTGTGAAAAAGAATTAAATGAGACGAGGAGATGAATTGCATAAAAGAGGAGATGTACTGAAAAGTCATGAGATAAAGATATCCTGTCTTCCATGGGAGAGATACATACATTGACAATAGTAGTGGGGTGATGATGATGATGTCAATCGCAGTCATTTACTATGTATATATGTATAATATAGGATGTATGTGATGAAGGAGGTGAATGGAGGATGATGCTTGCTTAGACCAACTCTTGTTCTTGCTATTTCGGTCGGGTTGCCTCGTGCGACACTGCAATGAAAAGGCAACGCTCAAGATCGTGTCTCCCTTTCTTTCTTTCTTGACAAGAGCAGCTCTTTTTGATATATATAATAGCCACCCTCCTTGTTCATTGTTTTTCGCCTTTTTGCTCTCCATTCCTTTATGCCATTCACTGCCTAAACCACCAACCATAGGTCCCACTTGTCATTCCTTTTTATCATCATAGCACACACAATCCCTTCATTTCCACACAACCGCTACTACTACTACTACTACGACAACTAGCCTTCTATTTTCATGTCAAGAGGTATTTCATTTATAGCCACCGTCTTTTCTTTCGCTTGTTGACACCGCTTGTGAAAAGTCACTATCAGTACTACTACTGCACCATCGTACATTTGTCCCACTGCAGCCAATGCCATCATTGCCGAGATTGGACCCTACCAAGTAGCCGCCGATGCATTGCAGGCCATCAACCAATTCCTTGATGAGTTCCTTGGGTTGCTGCTGTCGTCCTCATTATCGCTTGACTTGTCACGTATCAAAACGGTTGTATTCACACTCCTACCCTCGACCTTGGGCAAGAACGCCATTGTAGAAGCCGAGCTTGAAGTCAAAACGTTTACCGAGACCGAAGTGATCAACTATGAAGTGTATGAGCACATGCGTAACCTTGGCACCAACGGCAACCCTTTTCCACTTGATGAAGCTTTACCAGCATTACGTGAACGATGCGTCGAGTTTTGTACCTTGGCCATTGAAAGACCACCTGAGGAGGATCTTCTTCAACAACCTACAACAACCAATCAAGGCACCGTGATCATTGTGCCTATTGTTGCCATTTACGTGACCACCGTATTGGAGCATGTAGCCGAGTACGTGTTAACGGCCATTGCAATGACAGCAGAGCATGAAGACACCAAGACGATCCGAATCAAAGAAGTGTTTTTGGCATTGATCGATGATGTTCAAGTGGGTGGCGTATTCTATCGCATGGTGCTTCGAGAGAAGTTAGAGGTAAGAATTGGCATGATTTTATGATGTGGTCAATTCCTAATAGAACAATGATAGAAACGAGCCTATACTTATGGATACATGCCAAGGGTGATGACCCCAGTATCGTTTTCGGCACCTAAACATTCTTCGTCCAGTAAGTGTCACAGCATGAATTTATCACGTCAACAATGCGTTACTAAAAATAATACTTTACCCAGCTGCTGGAAGCATCCATACCGGATTCCTGGATATCAGCTTTGATGATTTGGAATTTGACCGTGAGGACAGCGATTATTACGCCTTGAGACCTGCATCTTTGATGAGCAGCAGTGTCAGCAGTACCACGTTTACCTCATCTTCAGCGGTTGGTCTTAACAACAAGAAAAAGACGCACAAGGTCTTGAGAAAGGAGGATGAAGAGCCATTGTTTGTTTCCAACAAATCAGCAGCATCCGTGTATGATCCAGATGCAACAGCGCCCACAACAATGAACTTTGAGGATATGATACGTTCGGGTGATACCGTCAAAGTGACCTTGACACCAAATCGATTACGCTCCATTGAAGTGAAGAACCAAATGGCCGATGAGGATCCACCAGCACCCACTTGGGAGCGTCGTTCGGCAGCAAGTTTGGCATCACGTAGCAGCAGGTCTGCTTTGAGATCCACATCACCCACTCCTTCCTCTTCTTCAACTGCTGCTGTTGCTATGCAACCACGACCACCACCACCTACTCCATCATCTCGTGAATTGCATAAAAAGCCGTCCTCCTCCTCTATTACGACGACTACTACTGCACCATTACCATCACCACCTACAACTTCACGTTCTTCTCCTTTTGTTGCACCTAAAAAGCCTGCACCTGCACCTGCACTTCCTACACCACCAGGTCCATCCCCTTCAGTATCAACACCTTCAGTGACTGTGACACCTTCGGTATCTACACCTTCGATATCATTGACACCAGCCCCTGCTCCTCCTGTTGTTACTACACCACAGCCACCCTCGCCACCACCTGGTCCTACCACAACCACAACAACCACAACAACATCGTCATGTGAGCTTGATCGCCAACATGAAGAACCTATCAAGGAGGAGGAAAAGAAGCAGCCACTTAAAAACGATATCAAACCAATTTCACCACCACCTTCCTCACCTGTTACCAAGCATTCTGAAATCAGCATTAACAGCGACAGTGGTAGTGATAATACCATAACAACGATAGCAGCAACAGCCGATCGTAGTAACAACAACAACAACAACACCAGCAGTAACAACAGTGATAATGATGATGATGATGAGAAATCAACGACAACAACAGCCAAGCCGCCTTCGCCTCGAGATAGTGTGGCATCCTTCTCATCCACCAAGTCATCTTCACCATGCAATAGTGTTGTATCCTTATCATCCACATCCACATCATCAACCGGTTTTATGAGTGCTGTTACTGCTCAAGAAGAACAAAGTGGTGAATCAGACAACAATGGATCCACTGTGGCTGTTACTGTTACTACTACTACCAGTACACCTATTCCACGACAACCTCCCATTCGTCAGCGCAAGGTATCTCGTGGCAGCAAGGCTTGGGAAAGTATTGAAGAGAATGCCATTACCCCTGCAGCTGCAGCACGTCGTCGACTTGTACGACAAAGCCGAGAATCCATCGCATCCAATACGAGTGGTGGCATGATGATGGATGAGCAGCAGCAGCAACAGCAACAACCACAATTGCAACAACCGCATAATCCTCCCAAAGCTACTCCTCAACCTCGACCTTTGAGTAGTGTGTTGGATAAGGTGATGCATTTCGAACGTTCCATGGATGAATTTGCAGCACAACAACATCATAGACAACATCGAGCATCCGCTTATTATCCACGCCGTGAACGTTTCTTGTATCTTCAACGTGAACCGGAAGCTGCAGCACCTCCTCGTCGTCCTTTACGTCGTCGTCCTGTAACTACAGCAGCCGTTGATGTCTCTGTTCAAACCACCATCCATGAGAATGATGATGTGGATGATGCGACACGTGAAATGGAATGTGCTGTGGTTGGATGGTTATTAGGTGAAGCATAAATCCTTCCCCCTCATTTACATACTAGTACTAGTAGTCATCATCATTTGATTTGTGAGTAATAAATAGTAAAAGAGAAAATGGCCTGGTGCCACACACAAAAAGCAATATTCAAGGGTTTTGATATTGAAGGGAGCATAGGGATGACTTCTTCCAAGTAGTTGGGTTGGGGATGATCATTGTCAGCATAACAACAAAAAACATCCGCCCGATTCAAAGTCAGCGTATACCTTTTAAGATGTAGATCCGCATGTGGTGTGTGTGTGTGGAGCAAACTATTAAAAAGTAGTAATAGAAAACACACCCTTTCTATGATACCTACATTCGCCCCATGATTATCGCGTCCGGATTATGTCTATCATTGGATATGAAGCCTTGTACCAAATAACCGGCTAGTGCTACCAAAGATAGAGGAATAGGAAACAGTCATGCGAGCTGCCGATCCTGCCCTGATTAGGCTTGGCAGTTTGGGTTAAATTGTCAAGGTTACCAGTGTGCTACCATGATACATACCGCGCGCTGTTCCCCAACTCTCGTCGTCGTCCTACTTACGCTCCGAATGAGGCCACAATACACACACACACGTCTTTTTTTTCCCTTTCTCTTTTTGTTTACAACAAAGCATGGACCAAGAAATAGATGGGCCTGACGGATTGGAGATCATGTCCGAGATTATCTCGCTGGCATGTATCTCCATCATGGCTTTACTCTTTGGTTCCAAATCCAAAATTGAACGATTCAACACATTGACCTATGGCCGTACGCTCGTCATTATCCTCTATATTCTCTCATGGACATTCTCGGCCATTGCCATTGTCTCGGTATCCACGAACAACTGTAAGTCCGAAAACACGCGCGGTAGCCATGGCAATTATTCATGCAAACGGCTTCTTCGTTGCTAGGGAACAAGGTATCCTGCGTTCTTGGTGTCATGATTTGCGATGTGTTTTATGCTGGTAGTAAAGTCACTATCTATGCCTGGTATGTGTCTTTTCCTTATTGATACGAACGCTCACTGATGCCATAATATGCTACTAGGTTGATTGAACGTGTACATCTCGTAACAGCCGTCAGAGTACGCCGAATGAAATCGATTCAATATCGCTTCCATCTCGCTTTATTATGCCCCTATGTCGGCATCTTCATCCTCATGGTACGTATATCTATATACATTGTTGTTCATTCATTTCGCTCATTCTCGCTCTTGTAGTTGATCTTCCGAAATGCATACATTGATGAGAACGGCATTTGCATCATGGGTTTGCAACCACCATCTAGTATTCCTTTGATGGTAAGTGGCATGTTTATCCCCTTTTTTTCTTATCGCAAATTAACGCCTTGTCCAATCTAGATTTATGACTTTGTAAGCAATCCAATTACGCCAACACGATGAATGTCATTTTAATAACCATCGATCCTTACTTTTTAGTTGCTCAACCTATACCTCACTTTCCTCTTTGTCAAACCTTTGGTGAGAACGAGCCGTCGACACGATCGTGAGGATTGGAGAGAAACACGCTTGTACAAATTGACACGTCGTACACTTGTGGCATCCGCCGTGTGTCTGGTTGTATCACTCGTCAATATCCTCACCTTGGCCATTACACAAGGCCACGAACGTGGTTTAATGTGTCTTTCCATGTGCACTGTCGATGTCACCATCAATGTCATTACGATTCATTGGGTATGTAGGTCACCTTATCATTTAACGCTTCCTTTGCTCATCATTATCATCCTATACCATGTTGTTGTAGGTCACCTCAACCAATATCAAAATGTCCGTTCGCCATCCTACGATCCCCACTATGGACGAATACAATCGCACAGCTACGCCTCCACCTTTAGATTCGACATTTGATATGGGTGATCATCAAGAATTTTATCCTGACAAGTACATCATCCCACAAGTCAACAAGAAATGTCAAGAAGACAACGATAGTGTACATTCGGCACAGCTCTCACACAATAGCGCCAAACCTCTGCAGGCAGAACATCCCGCCTCTTAGTACCATCATCATCATCATCCTCTTGTTGTATTATGTTCTACACGTTTTCACCCCTTCATCGATTATTCCCCCCACAACCTTTCTTTTTTTTTTCTCCACCCTCCTTCAACTTGGCATTAGACATATCTCCCCCACCAATTGCTTGTTTCCACTAATGTAGATACACATATGTTAAATATCTTTCGTTTTTCTCTTCATCATAATTTATTGCATGTGCTTGTGGGTATGTATGTGTGCATCTAGCATAGTAGTAGAGGAGGATGGGTTTTCATTTAGCTCAACAAAGCCAAGGTAACATCACCATGGACTCTAGCACGCAACTCGATTTCTACATCAAGGTTGAGATCCAATCGAAGCTTGAGTGGAGTATGACCACCACCACCTCCATCCTCAGCTTTGGCGACAGGTTGCTGTTTTTCAACTTCACGAGTTACTGTTGCTTGGTTACCATCTTCATCTTGTACACGATGTTGTTGACGACGTCGTCGCCTATTACGACCGCCACGTCTTTGACTACGGGATCGCCTATCACCACCACTGGCACCTGAAAGGACCGATTCATTATCATCCCATGATGAATGTTCCTCTGATTCTAAATCACGAGGACGAGGACGAGGAGGGCTCATTGTTCTTTGTGGTTGGGATGACGACATGATAGGTTTTGGAAGGAAAAAAGTAGTGAGAGCAAAAAGAGTCGTTGGGTTCTTATACTCAATCAAGGCTCCTGACGTATATGCAAGATTGCATGACGCAATGTGCGTTTAATCCAGAAAAAGAGAAAAAATCGATCGTTCCATGTGTGTGCGTGTGTGTTATGCATAAAACATGTTGTCGTCATGCTGTTTCTCCAGAGTTTTGGTTCAGGCTGCATCATCATCCAATGATCCACGTTCCTGGAACATGGGTTGGGGGTGCATGGTGTTGCATCTGGAAATGGAAGTTGTCGATCTCATGCAGTCACTAGTTACTAAATTAAAAATCGCATGATGGGCTCACGTTTTTTTAAGATGCAATGAGAGGGAGAGAGAGAAAACACAGATATCAACTTTATGTCTTTTTGAAAATGCTACTAATTTCATTTTGGAGAACCGGTCAACAAAGGATGACGTTCCTGTTGTTGTTGTTGTGCACCATTGGAAGGCGATGAAGAGAGAACACCATGCGTGATGGCACCATACGTCTTTTGATAGGGCTCCACGACCTTGTTGTGATGAGGATTGGATACAGAATGTGTAGACATGGAACGCACAATCGATTCTTTGATAGGTCCTGGTTGAGAATGTCGTTTACGCCATCTTGAATGGAGACGGGCATTGGATTTCCTGCTGTTGGTGACTTGACGACGCACCACACGCACCTTGTTGGCCACTGTAAAAGCACACAAAAGATTAGATACCAAACTCCTCCTCTTCATGTATACCCATTTATCTTACCATCAACATAGACATCCGTCTCATCAATGATTTCCTAATCATTCAATTAGTTTCATGGCATGTAACGCGTATTTTTTTCATCTTCCTTACCTCGCCAATAAGTTCCTCAATGACATCTTCAAGAGTAATCACACCAATAGCACCGCTTTGACCTCCAGGATCATCTGAAACCAATGCCATATGACCTGGCAAAACGTTCAATGTCAGACATATCAAGTTGATACACAATGCAAAAAGAAAACCTTACTTTTTCCTTCTTGGAAGAAATTGAGAATGTCCAAACAGCTTGTATCAGGGCCAGTCTCGGGCAAAGTGCTGAGTTGTAAGTTGGATACTGGCAATGCATCCTCGGGATCATAGGTAATGAGACGTTTGGTCAACAACATGCCAACAAAGTTGGTATCTTCACCGGCAGCATGTACAGGTATACGCGAGTAGCCAGCGGTCAAAATCTACCCACCACACATCGATCAATAAAGAAAGCGTAGTAGCCAATGGGATGTTTGATTACTTTACCTTGTCCACAAGCGCCTCGTCAAGGATATCATCCACTGATAAAATGAATACGTCACGGATGGGGGTCATGATTTGTGATACCGGTTTCGATCGAAGATCAAGGACAGCACCAATGATCGTCACTTCATCCGAAGTAAGTGCTTCGACATCGGATGGCTCCACTGCTTGGTGAAGGGACACCAAAGTCTTGAGACCTACCACCAAATCACCATGTCAACATGATAATTTCCCAATACCATCCATTGTTAACATTACCAGCCTTTTTGTAAACTGTGCCATGGGATTCACCAAGGAAATAGTCCAAAAGCAATGCCGTTGGATATGCAATGGGATACATGACATACATGAGCACAAGGACCATCCAAGCTGTTCTTGCACCGATTGCCAAGCCATAACGGACACAGATGGCTGCAGCGGAGATAAGTGAGCCATTGTCAATCATTGTCGATCCACCTACTTACATTGAGGAATAACCCTATTATACAGCAGTAATGAATAAGCGGCTCTCTCTTTTTCAATCCCTCCTCCCCCTCAGCGGTACTTACTCGCCAAAAATAACAATCAAAGCAGTAGAAATCACAACAGCTTGCCATCCACCACCAAGAACACCATCCAAGATAATTGGCAAAGTCTCATTGATGACCACATTCGATAGCAACAAAGTAACCAAGACCCAATGCTTGCCACGTTCAAGCAACGCAAGCACCTTTTTGGCATTCTTTCGCTCACTTGGGGTTCCAGATTCGATAAGGACGTGCAAGTTGGTTTCATCTTGGCCCATAAGACCCAACGTCAAACCTAATAATCATCCCATACACCCCTTAATTCAATATACTGGCTGACCGACCGACCATCCAATTGTCATCAACGCACCTGCAAATACACCGCCAAGGAGTACTAGAAAGATAATAATGAATACCTTTTCTAGAAACTCGGCCGATCCATAGCTGATCTTTTCGGCATCAGAGGCAACAATGGCCGTTGCTGGGTAGCCATGAATCAAGGAAGCTAATGAAGTGAGGGCGAAAAGCGAAGTGCGTATTCGTAAAGGCAAAGCTGTCATTCAAGGGGGGGAAAGAGAAAGAGAGAGAGAAAGGGAGAGAGAGAGATAAGAATGAAAGAAAGAAAAAGGAATAACGGGAGATAATCGGCGGAGACGTTGTGAATGAGTTTCGCTTGACATATACGGAGCCTCACGCTTGGCGTGTTACAATTAGTTTACGCATATACACATCATCTTTAATGGACCCGCTTTTAATGCATGTATGTATGAATGTATGTATATAAAAGAATGACAATTATTATTCATGATCCAGTAAAGATAGAAAGGATGCGATAGATAACCGAGCCAATGAAGCGAAAAACAGCAAGACCAGCAACGGCCCATAGAACAAAGGCCATGTAGCCATTTGTACGTTGATCAAAGTCACCTGCCGATCGGTAACAGGTTAGCCGTCAGCCCCGCGCTAAGAGTACCACAAAAAAAGACCCATTACACAAATACGTACCCAACCACTGCAAGGTCTGTGCCGTTGTTACAAGGGCTACCAAGATCAAATTACTCAATATCCAAGATGTAACAAGACGTGTTCGAAACGCTCGATAGTAATCCTCTTGTTTGGTTTTTGGATCCGGTTCATGTTTCTCATCCCGTTTACGTTCTTGGAGATTGATGCATGCTTCCTCGTACAACAGCCCGACATCTTTTTGTTCAGGCACCGCTACATCCGCTTGTCCATGCTGTGTCGATTCAACAATACCAAGATCGGTCGCCACAAGAGTGATGTCCTTGGTACCCCAACTATGTACAATGGTAGTAGCGATATAAGACACATGTTTCAGAAAAACGTTGTTATGGTATAGTCACCTGATATCGTGAGTGTTACAGAATGCAAAGGTATTGAGAATGTTAATGTAGCTTGGTGTCATGAGCACATATTGTACACAACTCGTAATCATATGCCACGGATCTAAAAACAGCAAGCTGGCCGCCAAATAAATAGCATAGGTCGCACCCACGGCAATCAAAATATCACGAAAGGATCCGTCCGTGAGGAGTGTACTCGTGCTCACCGCATGGTCAATGGCATCATACGCTAACCACACCGATGCAAAAATCATATATATCATCAGCAGGGCAAAGAATACCATGATCACTGTATATGCACCCTTGGATCTATACAATCATCATCCTATCAATCATGAATGATCCCTTTTTGTAAATAACGTGCACTTACCCTTGAGGTCGATTACCCATGGCAAAAAGAAAGAGAACAATGAGCAACACCACATAGACATAGGTAAGTCCGACATGGACATTGTTTGCCGTTTCTCGATCAAAGGGTGGATTTGTCATTGTCGACAAGGCACGTGTCAAGATATAGAAAGACAAAAAGAAATTGGCTAATGCAAACCATGAAAAGAGCCATGATAGAAACAAGTAGACTACTTGAATGATAAGCAACATTTTACGCAACAGGGAGTGTTTTGTCGTAATGATCTTGCCCCAATGAAAAAGTGCATAGATGCCTGCAAAAAAGGAGCCATTCAACCACCTTCGACGTTGTGAGATGAATTCGGGTACACCGTTGGGGACATCTGTTTCGCCATAAGCATTGGAAACATAATGAAGGACCCACTTCGCATCCTTTTTAGCTACAAGTTCAAAGCAAAGGATTCGATCCTCGGCAAGGTACATGTTGGCTTCAAATACACCAGCAGCAGCTGCACCATCATGAAGGTCTTCACCCAAAAAGTACTTTTCAAGGGGGCCATGGCCATTGACATCATTCAAGAGAGCCTTGTATCGGTAGGCTGAAAATGCACCAGGCAGGACTTGAATGTAGCCAAGCACCGATTCAAGTGGTTTGTCGAGGACATTGGATATCTTGTACTCAAAGTTTTGAGCTGCCACCAATGGATTCAAGAGGGCAATTCCTGCTGTACCTATACGTACGTACACGCGTGTGTGTGTGTGTGCTTCTTGGTGAGAAGAAAGAACACTCCCTACCTAGAGGATTTGTCTTTTTTTTTACCTGTCATGGCACGCACTTCACCACAAGCACCTCCAACATCTCGATTAATATCAAATGTTTTCCATAGACGATAGATAGAGGATGGTCCAGGGCGTGTGCCAACATCGAGTAGCATGCACACGGTAGGTTTCAATTGGGCACAAAAGGCTTGAAAGAACCAGCGATGGGAGTTGATCTTACGTTGGTTTTTCTCCTTGAGACAAAACAAGATTTGTGTTGGCACAATGCTATCCATGGCATTTTTGAATTTCAAATCAGGGTTCAAGGATAGCTGCGTTGTAAACTACTAGGCACAAAAAGGTGAGTGCCATCGTATCCATGACCCTCTTTAGATCCAGCGTACCTCGTATAAATGAGCTTGGACTTGCCTACGATTCACAAAATTCTTGGCCACACCATCTTGATAGACGCCCAACGCTGATAAAAGATCAAGGACACGTGGATGAATCTTTTCTCGCCCATCGGCAATGATGCAGACAACTATCTTTGACCAACTTTCACTTCCCTATGTTATAAAGTTAGCGCCCCATTGGCTTTTTTCCATCACTACTTGTAACTTGCCCATGTGCGTGATCGTTTACGACTGCATAAATGTGAAATATTCTTCATGACACCGTGTAATGTCCTTGCTAGTAACACCTCATCTTCCTAATAGAAAAGGATGATATGAGTAAATCACTAAACGTGTGCACTGTTATCATACATTATACATGGTGATGCAAATAAACAGCTCTGTGGCACGATTGAATGAAGTTTGTCGAAGCGTATAGGATTCAAAGTCTGCTGGATCACTCGTTACGGCGGTGTAACGCATTTGTTCAAATTCACTGCCAGCTCTGCGTGGTGTAGATTGCAGGTATTGTACGGGTACGGGACAATCAAGAACAAGGTTACCCTTGGTTAAAGGTACTCGTCGTACTGTGTGATAGCGTCTCGGTTGTCTTGCTGGCGCCAAACCTGGCCATTCCGGCATGTAGTAGTAAGGTGGTTGGAATGGCGGTTGGAATGACGGGCCTGGTGGTAATTGTTGCGGTGGTATCAATTGTGGCTGCAACGACTGAGGAGGTGGCGGGGCATGTTGTGGCGGTGCTGGTGGTGGTGGCGGATGCCAGTTACTCGAAGAGCTTGTAGCATGGGATGGTGTTGATGATGGTTGATGATGAATGGTCATTAAAAAGAGATGAAAGAAAAAAAAATGAAAGAGACAACAAAGCAACAAGAAAAGGATAAAAACAAACAATGGTGATGGATATGGTTTATTGTTATTGTCATAAAAGATCACGTGTCAGCAGCATTGATCAAACGACTTGATCCAAAAATGTCCCGATCAAATCAGTCAAAGTGATCACACCCTTGGGATGGCCTTCATCATCACACCACCAAAGACGATGTGCTTTACGAAGGACAAAGGCTGTCATGATTTGAGACAAGGTGAATCGATCATGGCATGTCAATGGGGGTTGCAACTCGTCTCCAGAGCGACTCTTCAAGTACATGACAACGGGCTTGTGCAACGCATCAAATCGTTCTCGATTCAATCCTCGTAATTGTTCAGGGCTTACTTCACCAACAAGAAGGTGTTCATCATCATCCGTTTCGATGGCAAGGGCACCGAGGGATGAATGAGCAAGCTTGAGAAAGGCTTCCATGGCAGTCATGCGGTAGGTGATACTGGCGACATCACCTGTAGGTGGACTCCCACGTCGAATACGTGCATGCTCCACAATGGTGGGGGTTGTCAAGTCAAGGATCTTGCCGAGTTCATGGTTGTGAGCTTGCAAATAACGTGCAACGTCCATTTGTGAGAGCAACACGGGTGATTGATCCTCAGCTTGAACAAGCACACGATGGCTACCATGTTGGCTCAAGAGTTGCATTACATATTCAAGCGTATCGGCAGGTCGCACGGTCACCAGCTTGGAGCTTTCTTGGGTCAATCCAATAGCATCACTCAGCGGCTTAAGAAGCACCTGACGTTCCCCGGCATCGCCCTAATACAGCAAGCTTGTTTGAAAATTTTTTCTCACGCTTTGCATGAAAACCTTCTTCTTACGCTGAGTAGCTTTAGCAGATCCAAAACACTGACAATGGTCAAGTATTTCTTGTTGCCATCCAGTTGTTGGTATACGGGAACCGAAAGAATGTCATGCGCTAAAAGGACATCAAAGGCTTCTTCCATCGTTGCCGTTGAGGGCAGTTCGACAAGTTCTCGGGTTCTTGGCGGCTTGACACTCGCAAGGACATCGGCTACTGTTCTAGAAGCAATCAGGGTACGATGGACACTAGGTCGTCGTTCAAGTTGAGTGGGATTGCTGTTGTTCAAGGTCGTCATGTTGAAGACGTTACGTTTTGGAGTGATATTTTATCCTTGGGAGAAAATGGTGAATTCGCGAAAGAGATTTGTTTTTTAGGGCTCTGAAGAACAAACACCCTCATATTTAGCCACCACCACCCCCCTCCCCTCCCTATTTCAATCCGCGCACGTGCAGCTACCATAATAGCCAGAGAGTCGTTATCGGCTAATAGCCACCACTCACACATCATTTCTACGTAATGTGCATCATCGATTGAAACAAACAAACATCATTGCTAATTGGCGGTGACACAAAAACTTTGCAATTTTATGCAAGAAATTGCGACATCTGTCAGAGTAGATACATATACCCAATGACATGGGGATGGCATGAGGCGCTATTTATAAGGAGGGTATTACGCCCACTGAGAAAGGTGCTATAAGCGTATCTTAACGGAATGGCAAGTGACTTTCTCATTCACATGCCTTGATTCAGCATACACTCGTCAACCAGGTACACATATCGTATCAATTTTGACACTCAATTGTAACTGCGTATGAGTATGTGACTCATCAAGGAATACGATTAGGTTTTACTTTATTACAAACAGCCAAAGATCACAATGACGACGACAACAATGAAAAAGGATACTAATGAAAGGCTAATAATAATCATAAAGGTGAACTCTCATTCACATGGTTACAAAGAAGCTTTGCCACCACGACACTGGACGCATTAAACCTTGGATGTTTGCGTCGCTACCATTTTTGTTTAACAAAGAGTGATAAAAGATCGATACATTGTTTATGGTTGCTATGATACATAGCCCGCCCATTAGGCCAGGTGGTCCTTTTCAATCTTTGCATAACATTCCAATATGCCATTTATACACGTTTTTTATAGGGGGTTATATCTGTACAGACGTATGAGAGAAAGAGAATAAAAAGCCATGGGTTCTCTATGCTTGAATATGGGGATCGTCGTCTTTTGTATGCATGTTTAAATAGATTATGTATGTAGGTTGCATCATCAACGAGGTTGTTGCTGTTGTTGTTGTTGATGAGACGGTGGTAATGGAGGAGTTGGTGTGGATGGTCGTGTTGATGGAGCTGAAGGTGTTGAGAGGGAGGGTGTCGAAGATCCATACATTTTACGGTCATTAAACATGTTTCCAAAGGCAGGAGGTGTCAATGATGGTGTTACTGATGATGGGCGACTACCGTCAAATGCAAGAGGCGTAGCATCCATAGGCGTTCTAAGCGTCATTCGATTCTTGTTGACACGTTGACCGGTTCGTTCAGCTTCCCAATCTTCCCACTTTTTCATCACAAGTCGAGACGAATCAAATTTGCCTTCTGCATCGCCATGGCCCTTGTCCTTCTTTTCTCCAGCAACCATACGTGTTGCACCCCATGAAAAGTCATCAAAGTGCCAGAATGAGTAGAGCGGCAAGACAAAATTCCAAATGGGTAAAGCAATAATATAAACTACAAGAAGCTCATGTAAATACAAAGGCACGATTCAACGAGAGAGAAATCATCACTTACTCAACATCCAACAAATGTAAATCAACTTGAAAGTGGTGATACCGATAAGAATACCGGGCAAGAACAAGATACAAATAAGCAAACCAAGCGATTGCCATTGTGGATCACCGGATACAGCCGAGCTGATGATAAGATAAATCGTCATGACAATAGCAGCAGGCAAGACGAGAGCTGCAATCAAATCGACAAAGACCGAAAATTGCATTGACAAGCATGCAATGCCGCAAAGATCGGATACAAGTACAAGCTCCATTAGGTTGTGTACAGTAGAGTTGATCCATCGACGACGTTGTGATAATAACACTTTGAATTCATCCGGGACAATCGTTCGACAGCGTGCTTGAGGAACAAACATCATTTGTCGTTTGGGAAACGTACGTAGCATGAGCGTTGATAGGAAACGATCTTCACCAAGCAACAAGAGGTTCTTCTCGTGTAACGTGGTTACCACATTTTGGTTGTATTCGAGGATAATGTCGGGATTTGCCAATAAAGGAACCCATGCACCATTCTTGGGAGCTTTGATACGGAACATACTGAAGCAGCCAGGTAAACAAGTGACAATGCCAAATAACGACTCAAATGCTTTGGCGTAATGATGAGAAATGTAGTACTCGAATACTTGAATGGCGGTAACCCCTGAAAACGTGGATGAAGTGTGAGTACACAGCAAATTCCACTCCTCAAATCTCAACTTACAGGATGCTCGCTTATTGGCAATACGTGTCTCTCCACACAAGCCCATGATAGTGATATCATTGGCCATGGCAGCCACCATGTATGTCAATGCATCAGGCAAAACCTTGGTATCCGCATCCACCTGTAGTATGCCATACAAAAAAGGCAATGAGTTTTTTTTTGTAGTCATCATTTTTGGATCAACGTACCATGAGTACAAGTTCAAACTTGTCTGGGGTTACACCTTTCATTAACCAGGTCATCTTCCAAAAGAGTTCATAGTCAAGCTCGGAAAGACGATCATTGAATAACACGCGTTGGAAGAAGGACATCAAAATCAACTACGAACATCATCTTTGTCAACTTGGGATTCGTGGCATCTCTGTAAATGTTGTTGTTACCTGGGAATCACGTTTACCACGGTTACCAGCCTTTGCACCTTGTTGCTCCTCTTCAGTGCCACACTTTACAACGGTGATACAGGGAACGCCCTTGTAATGGCCGGCATACTAATACGTCAAATCATGCTCAGCATCTTGATAAACTTTTAAATTCCTTTGTAATACTTACCACTTTTGCCATGTTGAGTTGTTTTTCACCATCGGCAATAGCAAGGTACGAGCATGGCTTTGGATTGGACATGGTGGGATCAAGATCCATCATACCGACAACGATATCAGGGGTAGACTTGGTCTCTCCAGCACCCGTAATCATACCATCAGCAATCACAAAGAAGCACTATGCCATGTTGTGTTAGGTCATCACGCATTTGACAATCCATTATATGCATATACCTTGTGCTTTTTGGAGTATGTCGTTTCTGCCAAGCTGTCCATGGTTGTACGAAGACCATCCTCGCCTTCGGAATAGCAAGTGACAAGCATGATGGAGTATAATTCGGTGGATACAATATCGGTACGATTACCGCCAAGGCCAGTGACTGAAGCATTGGTGGATGAATTTGTTCTTGATGATGTTGAGCTGAGAGAAGCTGCTGATGAATTGGTGCCTGCGACACGCATGGGTCCATAGTTGTTGTATGGGCCTGGGATGTGGTTGGCAGGGTCATCGTTTCCTCCCTTGATGGAACGCCAAGCAAGCCAATTCGAACGTCCACCTGGTTTTACCAAACGTTTGGCAATGATCCATTGGAAAAGCAAAGCCATTGAGTAGCGGACAACAATGATGGTGATAATGACAGCAAACATAATGTTCATGACAATGGTGCGTGCAATACATCCTCCCGTTTCAGTCTCCATGGATCCGGCACGATAACGTGCAAGCAGACAATCGCGTGTTGATTTTCCAGCACTGTATAAGATAGCATACGACGCATCATTGCCCCCATTGTTTCGCAAAGCAGTATCCACAGTATCACCAAAGAAGGGGGTATTAGCATTGATATATTTTGTCAAATTGAGGACTAAAGTTGTTGTTTATCAGTATACAAACAATGAATATGAGGGTTACACACATGCACATACCCGAATCACCCAATACGACAAGATCCGTATCGCCGAGATCATCGTCACCTTTGGGTCTGAGATCAATCCATTCAAAGGCCACCGATCCAACAGGTGAAGTATACGATTGGAGTTCAGCAAGCGATAAGCATTTACCATCACTGGTTGTGATTGATCCACCTGAATACAACAAAAGAGGTTGAGTACATGGAACAATGATACCTTTTCCTCCTCCAACTTACCATAAGGACTATCCAATTTGCAATCACCCAAGGTGGTTGTACTTCCTTGATCAAAGCCGGAGCAGCTACCCTTTGTATCACCATCAAAGATGCTGCCAATCTCCATGTTTTCATAATCGTTGGTAAGGTTCAAGCCTTTGGAAGCAAAGAATTCCTTGAGGGTGTCCATGTCGTAAATGGTGCCATAAACACGAGGATTCTCACGATAAAAAGGTCTCCGTTCACCGTCCACAATGGTTGAATAAGGAAAGTTTTGAATGGAATCAGGACACAAGGTTTCTTGTAAACCATAAGTGACGTAGGCAAGTGCACCACAAAGAAGTAAAATGATATACACAAGGGTGAGCTGTTGTAAAAGTAATGATCACGTTAGCATAGTAAAAAGCATGCACATCTATACACAAACATTACCTTTTCTCTCCAAGCTTGCTGCATCAACGCATTTGGTTTCCGAAAGACGATACGGATACAACATGATGGGATACAACAGGTCGCCAAAAACGCTACCCAAGACCACCAACTCGTCAACACTTTGGGCTTCACTGCCGGATCATCCTCAAGGTCATCTTTTTCAGGTACAGGAGGTGGAAGAGGAGCACTGAGACCAGCTGCTTGTTGCTGTCGAATTCTCTGTTGTTGAAGATGATGCGCCTGACTCATGCGTTGTTGTTGATGGTGATGTTGAGAAGGATGACCTGCCATCACCATGCCACCTGCATGTTGTTGTTGCTGTTGTTGTTGTTGCATTTGACGTTGTTGTGATGGAGATCGAATCATCCCTTGACGAGGACGTTGACGTTCTGGACGTGTCAAGGATCGAGCACGACTTACGCTTGCTTGTCGATATTGAACAGGAGGAGGTGTGGGTCCAGTAGCACCGGGTCTCATCATAGGCCTACCAGGACCATGTGGCATAGGTTGGCCTCGTTGTTGTGGAGGTGGCTGTCGATAATGAGGTGCATGAGGTAATCCTTGTTGTTGTTGTTGTTGTTGTTGGGGACGATGTGGAGGAGGAACCGGAGGAGGAGGACCACCACCACCACCACCATTACCGGGTATTGACCGATCTATTTGTGGATCGTAGACTCCTCGATCTACAGGTGTATAACCCAAGGCACGATGTGGAATGTTTGACATGAAAAGAGCGTGTGTGGCACTCCTTCTATTAGTGAAAAAGAGAGAGCGAGGAAAAGGGGGAACAAGGGGATGTTATTTACAGGCACCAAGAGAGAGAGAAAGAATATCAGCACTCCATATCTGTCTGCCCTTTTTTTTTCTCTCTCTCTCTCTCTCTCTCGTCGCTGGTCTATTTTTGGCCACTTCTTTTTTTGATCACATGAGCTCATCGCCCTCTCTCACTTTGTTCATTCTCTTTTTCCTTGTTCCAAGCCCAGTAGATTCGTTGCACACATTGTCTTTCATAGCGGATCTTTTCATTAGCTTCGCCTACTAAGCTTGGCATCGTGATATCATCCATTACGTGTGGCTGTGTACCATACTCAGGGCTTTATCTTTTCACCCTGCATCGAAAGCGGTCTTTTAACTTGACAAGGCAATCTTGACTTTTAGCTGGTCAAAGCGAGAGCAATAAGATAAATAGAAATTTCAGAAGCCACCCAACCCATTGTTGCACGGGTATTCGGAAAGCAATTTCTGCATTGATAGCATAAAAACTATGGTATAGTTGCCTCATGGCTAAACGTAGTTTGGATTATTCTTTGTAGCAATAAAGCATACTCGCGGTCATCGAAAATCTTGCTTCTTTGACGTGACAGCAAAATAGCTTGTAGTTGTCACCCAAAAATCTTGCATTTGTACTCTTCTTTAACATGCCATACACGCTACTACCGCTATCACATCTTGTATTCTGATTACCCATGAAAAGACGTGAGAGCGAGTGGTGCACATTTCTCTTGTTGATACAAGAAACGCAAGCTTGAAAAAGCCAAGAAAAGGCAATATGGGAAAAAAACATGGTAGCCCGCGGCAATACGTCTTTTGGACTTGGCGTGAAGCTTGTACTGTAGCTGACAGGAAAAAGCTGATATACAAAATCCGGTATCGGTAGCTTGTCGACATACGTCACCTATAAAAAGTTTCCCTTCTTTGGCTGTTGACCGAAATCCTAGTTGTATGTAGAAGGATTTATCAATTGCCAATGTTTGTAGCTCCTACCACCATAGTACTCGTAGACGGTGGTTGACCACCCTGTTGCCTTTGTGATCCCCTGATCCTATAGTTCTTTATCATGGCATGTATTCATTGTTGTCTTTGTGTGCGGCATTTGATCTATCCTTGTGGCAGGTATAATTCAACTCAACAAGCAAACTCCGTGGGCTGATCACGTGCGTTCTTCAAGGATGTGAACAAAGCCTCTTTTGCCAGTGTTTTGCCAAGGCATATCAACCGCCACCAAAAAGCCTACACACCCCGTGTCCAATCATTGAATGAGTTAATCCTTCATTGACCGTATCACGTATACAAAATCAAGAATGGTATTTCATACAGCGTTCTTCATTTCAATCATGATACCACAACCATGCATTTTTGCTTCGTTGCCATGGATACTATGAATCACCAAATACCAAATATGGGACCATGAAGGAACAGAGGATCTTTTGATGGATGTATGTGAGGAGACGTAGCACCAATGCAATACAACTATCGATGTGCTGGATAAAGGAAACGGTGATACGTTTAAAACGAACACGTCATTATGCAGCTACCGTCACAAGCATTATCCAAGAAGTCTGTACCCAAGAAGAACAAGGCACAGCCACCAGGACTTCCTGATCCTTTCATTGGTCACGAGACGTCATAGTTCGATGCACATTGACGAGGAGGCTCTGCCCGAAATGAGCGGCATTTTTTCCACGCGGTAGCCAAAAAAAATCATTACCACGGTCTAAGGTTGACTCTACCATTATAAGGCTCCTGTATCATTTTCGTTCTTCTGTCATAATAAAACTTTTCATTGTCGATCATGCACACACAAAGAGGCCATTCATTGTTGAATGCATGTACGAAAACAATGGTCTCATGTTTGATGTCTTTTTTCCCAACCATGAAAGCTCGGCTCGTCCCATCCTTTGTTGATGCCTTGGCTGAGGTCAGCAATTACAAAGAAAGGCTGCTATAACCGTTGAGGATAACTATGTAGTAATAAAAGTGCCATTGCTTCCATATATAAACAAGTCTACAATGAACTTTCTAAACCCCATCACTTTTATAGCGGCTGGGAGTGTCTATTCATTAGCAATTGGACACTGGCTAGGATGTCTCATCTTGGGCTAAACTCTCGGGGGAGTCGCGTGACCGAAAGTAGCCATTATCATTGCATTGGTCCGCTAAGCGGAGATAAGGCTCCGTTCCCAACTGCCTGGTTTGTCTGTGTAACCTATTGGATCTTCCTCCTTTGTATGCAGCAACAAAAGATCACCACGCATTGAGAAATGAGGGGTTTTCCTTGATCCATTATTTCACATGTATACATTGATGTTACTTTTAGGTGTGTTCAAGGGGGGAAACGACATGCATTGAAGAGCTGTATAGGTCAAAGAAAAAAAGTAAACTTTAATGCCGTGAGAGAAATAATTACACGCAGAACTTTGACATATACGATCGAATCGTGATGGGGCATCATTGGTTGGTGCAACATGTGAGGCACTGTATAGTGTATGTGTGTAATGCTCGATCGCTTATTCATCGTCGTTTGATTGGTGAACATGGTATCTAGCCTATCAGCCCTATCAGCCCTGTAGACGAATGATAAGCGCCAATGTCGGTGATCCACCCTTATAAGTGAGGCTTTCCACCGTTTGCTATCATGGGAAAAATGTCAAATCCCAAAAAGTAAGGAAGCCATCTTCATAAGGATATTGTACAACTCCACAAGAAGGATCCACACGTACAAGAAATACCTTATCACTAATGCTGTTCGTCATATGGTCATGCTCAAAGTTCTCAGGCGGTACATTTAAAAGTAGGTCCACACATTAATTCACCTCTTTTAGTAGACCTTTTCTTTTTACATACATACCACATCAGTGATGGGAGATAATAATAACAAAGTGAGCAGCAACAACAATGATGATGATCCACACGTTGTTGCTAATAAATCGAGATTCACCAGGGAGCGGTTGATACAACATCCATCAAAGTTGAAACGTCGAGCAGTAGCGACTATGCCGTTGAATCAGCACAAGCCAAAGATTACGATACCCGTGTGCTTGAAGAGCTTGGCTACAAGCAAGAATTTACTCGTGAAGTCAGTTTAATGGTGCAAGCTGGTTTTGCATTTTCCACAATGGCAGTATTGCCAAACTGGCTAGTAAATCTTACGGCAACAATGTCAGCAGGCGGCCCCATGTCCTTGTTTTGGGGTATTGTAAGTACCAAGGATTGCCCTGATTCATATTCCAGAACATGCTTTTTCATACTTTTTTCGCGTAACACAGATTGTCATTGCTCCCTTTGTTTCCTGTATCGCTTTAAGTATGGCCGAAATTTTCTCAGGTGCGCGATCGCTATTCACGTGATTCAATGAAGCTTGCTAACTTTAATGTGTGCCCCCCTCAATAGCTTATCCCGTAAATGGTGGTGTCTATTCGTGGTGTTATTTACTAAGTTCACCTGAATGGGGTCCAAGTAGGTGCATTTTTGACCGCTAATCGTAGCATTGCCATTAACTTTCATGCATCTTCAGTCATGTCTTGGCTTTGTGGATACATTTTTACGGGTGGACTGTTGTCTGTATTGATGACTCTCGCTTACACCATGGCCGAATATGTCATTGGTAAGCTTTACATCTCCTTTTTGCTTCATACGTTATCCCAATTAACACACACACACAACCCATTTAGCAATTGCCAATGTCATGAACGTTCAACAGACCGATAATCAAGGTGCCATTGTTGGCTTATATATTCTTTTCCTTATCATCGGTGTCGGTTACTCCTACCTTGGCATCAAATTCAGCGGCTATCTTAATTACTTTATGAGTATGCATTCGACACCAATCGTTTTATACATGAAGTGCATCCTAAGACCATTCATTTCTACTAGTCTACTGGGTCGGCATCGGTACCATTCTTGTCGTGGTGATCATGCCAGCAATGGCACCTACGCATCCTTCAGCTGAATGGGTGTTCACCGTTTTCGAAAACACTACGGGCTACAAGAATCAAGGCATCACATTCTTGCTTGGTATGCTTCAAGCAGGCTGGTGTTTGGTAAATACCTCATCTCAATGCTACACAATGATAGCAGTAATAGCTCACCTTTTTTCTTAACTCATATAGATTGGATACGAAAATGGTGCTCAAATTGCTGAAGGTACTCGCAATGCCAGCACCAGCGGTCCTATTGGCTTGATGATTGCCGTAGGAAGTGGTATTGTTCAAGCCCTTGTTGTATCGATTGCCGTTCTTTTTTCAATCCAAGATTTAGAGGAATTGCAAAGCGAGACACCTGCAGGTGCTATCGCCGTCCTTTTTGTTCGTGCTACTCGAAATACCTCGTTGACTGCATTTTTCCTTGTCATTCTTCTCGTCACTCAATTTGGATCTCTTTGCAACTCTTTCCTTGCTGTCGCCCAGTTGATCTGGTCCATGGCTCGTGATGGATGCATTCCTAATCATCGCTTCTGGTACAAGTAAGTGTCATTTTAATAACATGTGATTACAATTGATATCAAGGGACTTATTGTTGTCACCATTATAGGTTGTCAGGCAAACATGAAGCTCCTCTACGCATTCTTATTTTGGTCGCTGTCATTTGCATTGTTGTCATTATGCCGGTATGCATTGATTCATATGCTTTTTTTTTCTCCTGACGCTCACGCTTTCATACGTAGTCCTTCGCTAGTGAAGTTTACTGGTCTGCTATCATGAGCACAGCTGTCATTTGTGTGAACGTTGCATATGGTATGCCATTCTTTTGCCGTCTCGTGTGGAAGCGTGATCACGTACACAAGGGTCCTTTCAATCTTGGTCGATGGAGCGTGCCTATCAACTTTGTCGCCGTTCTTTGGGTCATCTTCTTCGCCATCATTTTGTGTTTCCCAAGCGTTAGCCCCGTTGAGCCTGTCACCATGAATTGGGCTTCGTTGATGATTGGTGCCGTCTTTATCTTCGCACTCACTTTTTGGTTCGTTGGTGGCCGAAAGACTTTCAAGGGTCCTATGCAAACCTTGGGCAACATGGCGACTGAAGATGACATCAAGGCGAATGAAGCTTCTTAGATGATGTTTCTTCTTTAAAAGAATCTCTTATTAGTATTATATCCATCAATCACAAGCATGTGCTAATATGTGTATCCCTCCACCCTTTATAACCGGTAGTAGTTCTATGTATGTAAAAACCCAGTATATAAAAGCAAAAATACAATCAAAATAGCTATATGCCATTCCTTCCTCTTTTTGGAGTGCTGGATCATAGCGTGAGAAAGCTGCAGCATCATTGGTAACCAAGTTACTTGGAGCCTTTTATGGATACCATTATGGCTCATTCATGCATGAATGTAAAATAAACTATGGCACATGGTCACACGAGTTTTGAAGGAAGCTTGACAGCGCATGTGTAACAAGCACATGATCCATGACGACTAGCAAATGCATGAATCATCACTTGGGAGGAGCTGGTGACGTGTTATCTCCAAGGCAACACGTTGCCTAGCAACCATCGCCCTTTGTTTCTAGGTAAATTTTTTATCCCAACGTGCTTGATCCCATCATGCGACCTTGGCCTATGTGTACTACAAATGCTTGATGCATCCTATCAACATCATAGCTCACAAGCACTTGCTTGATTGTAACAAAAGCTTGGTCCAGTATGATTGAGAATAACAAGCTCATTACAAAACAGCTTTTTCATCCCAAGCCTAAGTAGCAATGCTGGATTCGACTTGTTCGATAACACTCATTATGAAAGCGTAGGCGCAAAAGCGACCCACTCAGCGATCCTGTTGGAGATTGAAGCTTCACGTGCAAGTAGCTCGCTACTTTCTGTCATACAGCCGGTAATTCTAACTGAGCAACGTGGGTTGTATACGTATTTAGCGCTGCTATTATTATAACTCTCTTCTCTATTTCATAAAGAGACGTCATCACATTGGTGTAAGAAAACACCATATGAACTCATGGCTACCATGTTGCATAAGCTGAATGGCGTATAATAGTAAAAACGTTATACATTATATATCGGCACAGCCAGAATTTGGTGGATATAAGAAAATATACAAAACACAAGTGTCAAGAAAGGAATATAAAACATGAATACAAAGAAGAGAGTATCTTTTTGTCTAAGCTAGTGACCTTCGGCGTTAAGATCCGGGCCCTTAAAAGTGTTTTTGCCGCCAAGGAACCAGAAAGAGAGAGAAAAGATAAACACGGCGCCAAGCATTAGACATGACCAGTTCATGGTTTCAGGATTGACCGGGTTCACGGTAGGGATACAGAGAATGACGGCAAAAAAGAGAATCCAAAGCACGGCAACGATGTTAATTGGAATACTGTAGCGGCCCAAGTCGAAGGGGCCCTTGACCATGCCTTTTCGCTTCCAGATCAAGCGGCACACATAGGGCATGCCGTAAGCAATGTTGGCACAAATAACAGCGGTACTCATGATAGCGGACCAGTAGACTTCACTACCAAATGTCTATAATAATAAATGATGTCAATCATTTGCGTCAAAGGATGGAGCTTTGATTGAATGCTTACCGGCATGATGAGCACAATGCAAATAACGACTTGTAAGGTGTAAATGCGAATGGGCACCTTGTTATCACCAAAGCCTTCAAGCTTGTACCAAAACTTGTGATTAGGCAAGGCACCATCACGAGCCATAGCCCACATGAGGTTTCCAAGGGCAACAATGGTATTGGCCAAGCAGCCAAATTCTGCAACAATCAAGATCACCATAAAGAAAGCACCAACACTTGTATTGGTGGCACGTACAAAAAGAGTAGCCACAGGGAAAGAAGAGTTCATAAGGTCTTCAACATCTTGGATTGAAAACAAGGTAGCAACACACAAGATAAGGGATTGGGCAATGGCACCGGTGACACTGATGAGAATGCCCTTTGGACCAATAATCTCGGAATTGACAGTGCCTTCAGCAAGGTGAGCACCGTTTTCATAACCAATCTATGATGTAGGATGCAAAGTCAATAAAGGCAACAAGCTTATGAGAGGATGTTAAATGGATACATACAATAGTCCAGCCGGCTTGTAACATGCCAAGCAAAAAAGTAAGACCATCATTGCCCCAACCGGTGGCATTACGGAATTCGGTGAATACCCAACGAGCACTGGGATGGGTATCAGCCATAGCAGGAAGCGTGATGACCACAATGACTGTGCCAATAAGCACCCAAAAGACTATGGTTGCAAAGTTAACATCGCATCATGTGATAGTGTGCTTCTTTGATACATACTCATGAAGCGATTAAGGTAGCCATTGAATTTGATACCGAGAGAGCAATAGGCAAGGCCCAACAAAAGAACAGCAATGTACAAGCCGACGTTGGCGCCTTGGTTATTGATTTGGTGCACATTTAAGATGTTTGAAAGAGCTATACATCAAAGGTGAGTATATAGAAAGCTTCAAGATGAGTAATCTTTTCATGTTTACCAATGATGTATTCGGATAGGGAATAGGCCACGGTCATGTTGGCTGTAAGAAGACCGGCGACAATCATATAGCCGGTGACCCAGGACATAACTATAAACGTACAAGTGTTATTGTATTGTCGTTACGTAACTGGTAAAAAAATTTAAAAGATGACAACAACATACGTGGGCCCCATTTTGGACCAGCAAGAAGGTAGCTCCACGAATAGACACCGCCACATACGGGGAAGGCTATAGAAGCAATTATGTGTTAAATCGAGTTGTACGTTAAACGAAGATGATGATTTACCGGAGAACAGCTCTGCCATAGCCAATGCAATACAATAAAGAAAAGGAGCAGCAACAATCTAATCATCATCGTCATTGATGGGTTAGCAACAAGGTGCTTAGCAAGGCCACATATAAGCATTGTACATACAAAACCCCAGAATAGGGACATTGGGCCTCCAGAGTCCATTGTGCCAGCAAATCCGATCAGCCTGAAAAAAGCTCAAGTCTTAATATTTGGGATGCATGTAGTATCATTTGTTGATGGTGGATCCTACCAATTCGGTAATACAGCCATGGTCGAGAAGGAGAAACCAGCAAGGACAAAAAGACTGATTTCACGTTTAAACTCTTGCTTGTAACCAAGATGTTCAAGCCTTTGAGCGTCTTGATCATTGGCATCGGTGGATGGTACTGATTCGACATCAATCGTTTTGCCAGCCTTTTCACTCTTTTTATTTTGACATCATGATGGGTGAGTAAAGGAAGAGGTTTATAGGAGGGGGTGATGGTGCTATGAGCGTTCTTTTACCTTGGTATCAAACGACATCCTTCTAATTCCAGCAAACCTAATAACATCTATACTTTGCGAATGGTGTTATATATATATCAGTGAAGCTCGGCTCACGAGCGCGGAGAACTATATGATACCTTTGTGAGACCTGGGGGCGATAAGGACGACGATGATGTACCCCGCACTGTTCCAAAAAGGGTTAAAAAACTTGATTTGTGTTTAGCTAGAGACAAAAGGTTTTTTGGCATGTGTGCCAAAATGTCCAAGTGTGACCTTCCACATTCACTCATCCATCCTAATCATATAGATTCATCTTTTTTGCTCTTGTTTGGGCATGCAAGGCCATGTTTGATTTTACAGAATACAATGAAATGGACTTTTATGTAGAATTTAGGGCAAAACATTTCCCAATTAAAGTTCAGGCAGTGCGATTGGATCGCTCTGACATCGAATCAACTTGCTATCTGACTTAAAGGACAGCTACTGATAAGAAAGATACAGAGTTGCAATATAGCTTACCAATGCTGTGGATCAAGGAACCAGCCGAGGATTCTTGGTGCAATGAAAAATAGTAGCACAGAGTGTGTGTGAGTGTGTGTCATTGATAGGCTGTCAATCTTTGGTTTTCTCATTGTGAGCAAGGTACGAGGGGGGGGTGGGGAAGGATTATGGTTACGATGATCAGAGATCTTGTACCCACTCCATTTCCCACGGGGTTTGCTTTACGTATTTTGCGGCAATATCCGACATTGGGGCTATACAGTATATGTAAAACCGGTGGTTAAAGTGAAATAATAATACAAGAGTGAGTATGCGATCTCAGAAGGTATTGTAACGTTGGCCCGAATTCGAAGCAACGTATCAAAGAGAGGGAGGGAGGGAGCAACCCGGGAGATTTGGGCTGTAACGATGATAATACGCTTGCCATGTGGTACCGGTCCTACGATCAATCCCAATACCGAAGAGCACAAAATCCGTTGGTTTACATAATAAAGTTCACGAATGATCGGATCGCATCCTGCATGTCAATAAAAGCTGGCAATGATTACAGCATTTGTATATAAAGGTGACCATGCTAATGCATCATGGGGAGTTTCTTTTATATGAACCCCATTTAATGCAGCAGACACACCCGCTCATTTATGACTTTTCTTCATAGTATTCATATAACACTCATCCAAAAACGCTTCCGTTAGCAGCCGATAGGCATTCTCACGGTACACGTAATGTGCGGGTCGGTGCGAGCCCAACAAAAAGCAGTGCGTGATTGTCGTCGGGGGTGGGAACAAAAACTGGGGGAGAAAGAGAGAGAGAGAGAGTAGAATGATGCATGTGCGTGTGTGAATGTAGGTTGCATAATAATAGATACACAAAGAATGATGTCCAAGAAGGATGATATTGTTATTGATGAAGCCTCTATAACAACAAAGAGCGAGATAGGTTCCATTAATTTGATCTCGTGACAGCCTATTCTAGAGCTTCCCTTGGCGCCGAACCAACAAAGTCGCAAATCACACACTTGTCTCTCTCACCTATATATACAATCCTGCATATGCTATTTACACGTGCCCCACCACCACCTACTCCTCCCAATGACGATGATGATGCTGAAGCCGGCTGCAAACTGATGGACGCATTTGCTATATTTATTCAACTCTGCTTGGCTGCAGCTGCATTCTCTACACTGATTATCAAACGGCATCGGGAACATCCGCAGAGGCCTGTGCGCATTTGGTACTTTAGCAGTGGTTTTCTTTATCCTTGCAACAACGATACTCACCATTACGAAAAGGGGTTTTGACGTCAGTAAACAACTTTTTGGCGGCATCGTGATCCACACACTCAATGTGGTAGCGTCCTATATCTCTGGAGACAGTCTCGAAGGGCAACAAAGCAATCCTTGTGTCTGGTACGTTACGTTTCCTATTAACCGCGCACGCCCACGTTGCTTGCTTGCCAAGAGAAAATGAACATGTCGATGGATCATTAGGTACTTTTTGAATATACTTGTGGATACAACGCTTGGTGTGGGGATACTATGGGCCATCTTGAAGGGATTCCATCATGTGCTTATTGATCGTCTACAACTGCATGAGTTCCAAAGTGGTGTCTATGGTGATCCACCCTTTCGAAAACAAGTCAGACGATGGTCCAAGCAATTGGCGGTCTATATCACGGGTCTCGCTCTCATGAAAGTACTCGTCGTCCTGCTATTTCATTTATGTCCTTGGTTATCAGACTTTGGTCGATGGGTCTTGCAATGGACCATGGGTAATTATAAACTACAAGTCGTTTTTGTCATGCTTGTGTAAGTAGTCTATATTTTGGATAGGATGGTATATATACTTTCTCTCTCTCACACACGTACATGATCCTTAGATTCCCACTGGCTATGAACATTATTCAATTCTGGATCGTGGACACCATCGTCAAGCACAATACCGATAAAGAAGCCATTCGATTATCACCGGAAGAGGATGAAGAAGACATGTTGATTGGTGAAGATGACGAGGATGACAACAACACACATCGCCATAACCTCCCTTTGTCTGGATCCCCTAAACTCACGCCCCATCATCCTCCATCCTCCTTATCATCCGAGCACAGCACTTATGAACTCGTGGCCAACAACAGTCGATCTTAAGCAAGTGATACCCATTGTTGTTTTTTTTTGTGTATAAAGTTACATTACTTGTTTTGATCCTTTGATCGAGGAATATGTATGAATGTTATTGTATCCAAATGCTCTACAGAGGGGTGGGGGGTGTGGTGGGGGACGAGCTACATTTCATACAGTATTCTTGGCTTCTTCACATAATCGCTTGTATTCGCTCCATAAAGGACCATCGAATGAATGTTCTGTATCAAGTGATGTCGCTAATAATCCATCCTCAGCAGCAGCATGTTGGTATTCTGGTTCCAAGAACGCCATGATCAACGTGTTCAAGAGATCAGCCTGGTTTTGTTGCAAAGTAAGACTTGCTGTCTCCCCAAACTTGAGCCATCGTTCACGCATATCATTGAAGAGCTCATCGGTGACAAGTCGATCTGGGCCAATAATGGTCTGTGCATTGTGCACTAGCATAGTTGCCTCATGGAGTCCTCGTGTACAATACGCCGCACTACACGCTTTCTTGTATGCCGCCTCATCCAATTGCTTTTGTTCATCCAATGAATAAAACATCCACCTAACCAAAGTATCACCACCACCCTTATCTTGCTCTTACCTTGATACATGCTTTGCCGTAGGTGTATACAAGTCGCTCAAAGCCAAGTGATTGAAGCCTTGATTGCCCGTTGATAAGATCAGTTTCCAGCAGCAAATGCTCTTTCCATGCCGCTTCTTCCCGTTTAGCTCGTAGTAGCCATGACAGGGAGTCGAGATAAGCAGCATTCATAAAAGCAGCGAGAGCGTTCACCACTATTCGCGCAATCTTGAGGAAGGTATCGTATTCAGCCCAAAGAGGTACTAGCACTGGATCTTGACGTGATTCATTCTCCAAAAAGGTAGGCGCCTGGGTCATCAAAGAAGACTTTAGCTTTCAGCGTGCCACACATAAACAAGTATCACCCCTCCCCCAACAACTTACATTATCAACATGGCTGTCAGCATAGGTATAAACATACGTTTCCAGGGCCTGATAATCTTGAATCTTGGCCAAAAAGCTCTCGAAACTAATAGTAGCAATCTTAGTATTCATAGCACCTCGTTTCATTACCGTATAAAGACTCACGTTTTCATAATGTGATAATCATCGGGTGTATAGGTTTGTGATGTTGCCAGAAGTGTATTCATGTATTTGCGTAGTTCATCATCGTCATCTTCAGATATGGGTTGATAGTCCATCTCTGGTAGGTGGTCATGGATCGGCTCGACTACGCCACCACGATAGGCAAATTTGCTATCCGGGATTGAAATTTCTTGAGCATCACCATCGTACGATGTATTGCTGCTGTTGCCAGTGCTGTTGCCTTGTTCATACTCTCTTATCGATTCTTCAAACTGCTCATTGTCTTTCAAGACGAATTCCTATCAAAATGTGTTTAGAAAAAGAGATGAATGTAAAAGAGCACACCATTTTATATACCTTCAATGTATCCGGGACGTGATACTCCAAGTCTTCTCTGGTAGGCGAATCCATGGCTCTATCAGCGTAAATGACTGCGAGGGGTGCCATTGATTCATTGAAAACGTCATCTTCCGTAACAGGGGTAACAATAGCATCACAAAATTGAAACCATTGTCCTTGTTCACTCTCCTCCTCATGGCGTAGATTGGCTCGCTCCATCCATATATATCCCCAATAATGTCCAGGTCCATTTCCTCCATCATGATATAGCAGTGCACGAATGTCGTAAGGCTTCTTTTGAAAATCGGGCGTCTCAAAGAGCGTATTGAGTTGTTCTTGGCATGACTGTTCAATATCATAAAGCTCTGGGGAGAACAGACATGTTATTATAACACGTCGTATGACGGATCCTTCATCCATTTTTCTTACCTTCCAATCGCTGGGTGATCCTTTGTTTCACACTTGCAAGCAGCTTTTGTAATACATGGATCGGTGCAGTCGTATCAGGGTCACTCTTATCACCAAAGTAGTCCATCGTCTTGGTCAAGATATCACGCTTATCAATGGTGGTAGTGGTCGTAGAGGAGGAGGAGGATTGGCTATCCAAGAATGTCGGCTTAATCACATTTTAGTCTCTACGCATATCATTGAAAGGTATGCTCACCAGTTTGATATACCCATCTCGGCAATTTCAATCCTTGCTTTTCGAATATCTTGTCTCCATTGATATGCCTGCTGATAACGCTTTAATGCCTCGTTCTTGTTCTCATCCATGTAACGGTCGAGATAAATGGTCTTGTCAACAATGTAGTTGGTTGCGCGTTTCGATTCCTCCACGTTGTTCTCAAGAATGACGATAAGAATGGGCGGCACTCTTTCAAACGTTGTCAATCGCCAGTCATTGTCGTCTGCAGATGATAGGGTGTGCTGGCTTGTATCGTCGTTTGTCGGCTCGCATACGCTATTACTGCTGCCGGTATCACAATGATAATCATACACCATGGGACCAAGACAATCATGAAACCTCCTTGCATTCTCATCATAACGCAGGTTCAGATAGAGCAATTCTTGTTCATCCACTTCATTTCCATAATTATCCTTCGCCTTGAGTAAGAATAAGCTAAGGAAAAGTACATGTTAAAACATCACGTACTTTGTTGATCAATAAAGAGTCTTACTTGTAGAGTCGTTGCAATGATTCTTTGGGTAAATTGGGTTCACGATGCTCATCAGCCTTTGCAAACATTCCCATCAACGTATCGAAGAAGCCTATGAAACAAGTAAATAAAAATGCCATGTTGATACGAGAAAGACTCATCCTACCATCCACAGTGGGTTCAGAGGAATCCCATGACTTGTATCCAGTCTGCATCGTTTTCATGGCCCTCACAAAGTTGCACACATTTCCATATTGTCGTTTTGAGTATCTCAGGAACGCGAATATCTTTTGTAATTCCATCAGAGCTAGATAACAACCAAAGTAAGCATACTCAATCATGGTAACATCATGATGGAAATCAACATACCTCGTACGCTGTCAGATATAGGGGTATGTGCAACGTCGATTGGTTCCTTGAGGATGTCATCATCATCACCAAGATCTTCAGTATCGGATGTAGACGAGTAAGATGGTGGAGGAGGTGTAGGTGTAGGTGTAATGGCTGTTGTTGTTGTGGTGGTGTGAGATGATAATAGAGTGGGAACTGCTTCGCCTTCTCCTCGCCAATATCCAAATGTTGAACCCCAACTATCAGCCGTGGGTCTGAAAGCAAACACGGCATCCTGAAAGAATGTGATGCTGAAGAGGGTTTGAAGGATGACAGGCACATAGGCATAATCATAGGGAGGTGGTCGGAGGCCAATCGAACTATGCATATGCTATTAATTGGATATTCATGCCTCTTGTATATACACAATTTACTTACATGTTATCTTTGGCGATACGTTCGGATGGATTAGAAGGATCTACCCACCAAGTGACGGATGATTGTACTGATTGTCTTGGAGGTAATAAAGGTGCTGAAGAATCCTGTTGCTGCGGCTAATCAAAGGGAAATCAAAAAGGTGTTCTCGAGCACAGCACTGCGTGATATGACTTTACCGTTGTACTTGCAGGAACAATACTCCACATGGCTGGATCATAGCTTGTAAACGTATCGGAAAGTCTCTTTTTGTCGTAATCCTTGACAAGATAAGCTGTGATGTCTTGTAAGTCATAAAGTTCACTGGTTATGATATAGCTGCTTACCTTGTTGTTGTTGCTGTTGTTGATTGTCAGAGTGTGCGATGCTGATGTTTTCTGATGAATCAGTCAATTTCTTATCATCCTCGTACTCCCACGGATTGAGTTGCATAGGTGTCGTCGTCGAATCATCACCACGTCTACTATTGCTGCTGCTGCTGCTGCCACTCTCCTCCTCGTCGCTTTCAGCGTTTCCCGAGAATATGTAGTCTGCTGCTCGACCGACATCGTAGTTGTATCGCTACATTCAATATACATTGGTCGCTGTGCTTAGAATGCCACACCTTTTTCCCCATGGCCGAGGCCCCATGTCGTTCCATTGGCTTACAGAGAGTGCTTTTACTGCTTGCTTACGACCAATGCCCTGGTAGACATGGCAATGTCAATACACGTCCACAACATGATAGCTACACATACACGCACATACCATTTCCTGCATCAATTGAATAGCTTCTTCGATTTCACTTCGCGTAGACATGGTCGCCTCCATAACGGTATTAAAAAGAATAGAAAAGAAAGATGCGTTCACCTGCTCTTGGCAGAAATTCCCCGCGTCTATTGCATTTATCTTTTGCACTGATGGAATCAGCTATCGATAAAAGGCATGAGAGAAGTGAGAGAGAGAGAGAGGAAGAGTATAGCATGCTTTCTTTAGGATGCATGGTAAAGAAGTGGGCTACATAATATCACGTGATGCTCATCATTACTTGAGGGAGTGCATGATTCTTCTTCAAACCCCACCTATAAACATTTCCTTTTATCCTTTATTTACAATGTAGATCGATCTAATCTAAAGGCTAAAGCTCTCCATAAGGTGCAAGTGGGAGTGCTGACGTCCTTTCAACAACACGCAATTTGGCTGATCGACTTCTAGGATTATCTTCTCTTTCTTCCAACGACGGCCGTATGACATGCTTTGTACGCGTAATAAATGATGGTGTGCCGATTGATTCTTCTTCTTCACCCATATCATGTTGTTCCATTACACCATATTTCTTCTGTCGTCGATAGGCTGCTCGTTTAAGATGGAATTGATTGACAGATGCACTTTTCACTGATCGTCTTCCGGTGCCATGTTGCATGAATGATTTCACAATCTTGTCTTCAAGTGAATGGAAAGTCACCACAGCAAGGCGTCCTCCAGGATTTAATAAATATTCACTCGCTCTCAGGGCAGCTTTTAACTCGTTCAACTAGATACAAATCCATCATTAATCTAAGCACACACACACACACACAATGAGAGCTGTTCTTACCTCATCGTTGATGTAGATGCGTATGGCTTGAAATGTACGAGCTGCAGAATTGCGGACCATATCATCATCACCACGTTGCCATCTTGGTTGCGGACATGCTTTTTGGATAATGGTTGCAAGCTCTGCTGTAGTTACAATAGGTGCCTCTTGTCGTGCATTCACAATGGCAGATGCAATTTTACGCGATAAACGCTCTCCACCATACTATTCGATTCGTCAATGCACACGTCCTTGAAACAAAGCATCGTTCCAAATGACACTCACCTGATAAAGGATATCTGCAATCTTTTCTCTGGAAAAGTAATTGACCACCTCGTATGCTGAAATGGATCGTTTCATCAATGAGAGTTCAGCTGGATTGTCGGGATCAGCAGTCGCATTTTGTCCACGCGAGAACATGCGCATATCCAAAGGCCCCTCAAGTTTGTAAGAAAATCCACGTGAAGCTGTCTCAAGCTAATATAGAAGATGGGTGAATATAAAGATTCGATCCACAAAGGCTCAAATCCCTCCTACCTGTCCACTCGAAACACCAATATCCATCACAATGCCATCAAAACAAGGAATACTATACAAAGTGGTTAGTGATGATGCATAATACTCCCCTTCATAGATAATACCTCCAATCGGGTTGATGCTCTGCCACGAGTCGATCAATTTGGCCAAATTTACCTAGCCATGGAAACAGCCGGCCCCTATAGCAACACATGAATACACCCATGATCCATCATCCCTTGGTCTCAGCAACTTACTGATATTCTTTCATGTTGGCCATTTGTAATGCTTTTTCGTAAGCTGTTGGATCTTGATCAATGGCAACCACCTTACAATCGCATGCATCTACTCTTCGATTACCCTATTTAGAAGCACCATCGTATGATATGCATCAAAAGACAACCAACCTAGGATAGCTCTCGTATAGCCACCATCACCAAAGGTCATATCACAATAAACACCACCAGCACGCGGTGACAGCTGCTCAAGTACTTGATCCCCGAGGACTGGTTTGTGAATCACATTGTACGGCATGGCTGCTGAAGAATAGGTGTTGACATGGGTCCATGAGATGCCAGGGAGTAGCCTCAACGTGCGTTTAGGGAAATGAGCCACACGCAACATGCTGGAACGGTCGCAATGTAAAAGGGAGAAGGGAAAAGAACTGTCAGGTCAAAGCGAGTTGTCGCCATGGAATCCAAATTTCAACGGTCACTACTAAAAAGGAAAGTAGCATCTTCATGCTCTTGTGTGATGTCGAAACGTATGATGCAGATAACCCAATAGCAAAGTTTTCTTCTACGCTCATAATACGTTTACTATTCAAGTATCCAGTACCCATATATGTATCCCTCTAAACACCCTACCCTCTTTCTTAGAGCGAAGCCTGCTTTCCCAGCTGTACCCTTTGTAGCACAAAAAATGTCAATGCTGCTTGATGCTGTTGTGCTATCCTCCATACATATTATCAAATCCGCTCAAGACGTAGACAAGTCCTGTTATATCTAATTACTATGAGTAAAAATTAGAATGAACATTTGGTCAATAAAGAAGCAAGCTGGCGTAACATACGTGGGGTTCGAAAAATAAGCTTCAAGTCGTTATATGATTGAGATGGTTTTAAAGTTTGCAACGAACTGGGTTCGTGATCTTTGCGATGCGCTTCTTTATTGCTTGATTTCGATATTATAATGGATACCCGCGTTCCTCTATGATGCGTAGGGCCTCTTCCAAAGCGCCGTCGATATGGACATGGCTCGTCTGTACTGGCTCTGGCAATTCATACGGTTTGCAGTCTCTTCCCTGGATTGCATTGACCTTAACATACCACCCATAACCCCAAGTTTCGTGACGACCAAACGACTCGAATTCACCGACGTATGATATCTCTATGAATTTGATTGCAGAGCCATACAATCCAGGATAACCAACGATCTTGTTGACCAATGTTGTGGCTCTGTCATGTTCGAAATGGCAACGGTTGCCGTATTTGCAGGGTTCACCTCTCATGTAGTATCGGCACTTCTTCATAAGAATTCACTGAACATTCACGTAGTGAGAGGTCTAGTTTAATTAAAGCGCTTGTTTTATAGCACCTGAATCATAGAATCGGATAAAAGCGGGAGCCATAACGCCACACATACCAACCCTAACTTCTGTTGTTTGAAACAGTTTCATGCGAATAGCAGGGTTAAGGTTAGCCAATCTGTAGGCGTTTATATTTGTAGAAGGTTTGTAGGTCATGCCGTCAATTGCGATTTCAATGTTCTGAAATTGTACGTATGTGTTAAATTAACGAAAGTTGGTCATGTCAAATAAGCTTTACGCCAAATCGACACGTTGCTTCTAAATGTCTCGCTTCGATGCATGAACTTCGTATTGTAACAATAAAAACGCATGACTCGTTTCCACGCCTTCCTATGGGTAATAATGATGATGTAAGTAGCTTCCACTTTATGATCCACATAGTTGTTATCAATGACATCCCACCCATACAAAAGCTCAAAAGACGGCCTATACTACCACACGTGTATACATTTATTATGGTGGAAGACATTCAACATATAAAAGATTAACGTGACTTGAGCACTTGCTTGACAATTGCACGTAAAATGGACATGCTTCTATCATCGGCTGGATTAAAGGAGGCCATCGAGTTGGTGCAGTAACCAAATGCAATCTTGTGCTCCGGGTTCCAGAAGAAGATGCTGCCACCCATACCAGTCCATCCCACAAAGGTCACATTATCCATTGTCAAGTCATCCATGACGCCGAAGCCGCCTTTGAGTGCAGGGGTGTATCGCCCTATGAGAATGTCATAGTCCAATGGCACTGGTTCGGTGACATGAGCATACGTGGTTGAATTCAATAAATCGGGCTCGTCGGGATCAATGGCTTTACCATGGTTGGCCATCATGGCTGCCAACTTGGCTATCTATGTAGGTACGTACATCATCCATGTTATACAAAATCCTTTCCCTCCTTTCCTTTTTCTACCACTTTCACTTACTGATTTGGCATTGGTGAATCCTGAAAAGGAAGGACTTTCAAGACGACGATAGGCAAGCCTTGTTACATCCGTTCGACCAAGGCCTATAATCACACTTCGCATCGTTTTATGCGCGGGAGAGTCTGGATCATTGAGGGCAGCCATGACCGATAGCTCCTTCCTTCCATTCTTAAAGATCCGTAAAAGTTTACGATAAAAACGATGTAAACGAGGGCCACGGTAGATAGGTGCTATGCGATCATCGTAGCATTCTGCATAAGGTTTTAGTTGCCATTCAATGTCCTTGTAGACTGGGTTGATATGTTTCGCGGCCCATGCATTGACAGTGTCATTTTCAGGAGTGACGCGCTTGATGATCTCGTTAAGGTACCATCCTCGTGTTGCCGCGTGATAGCTGCGTGTTCGGTTGCCACCAAAATTGTGAGGTTGGGATGCAAGAATATCGGAAAAACGTACGGGGTCTTGTGTTGCAGCCAACGTGATGGGTGTATCGAGAAAACCAACGCCTCCTGCATGCTGCATCTAAATACAAAAGTACCCAAATTTAGCCAAAGAGAGAGAAAGAGAGAGAGAGAGAGAGAGAAAAGATGCAGCAGTAGCATCACTGTTGCGTTTTCAACGTACCAAATCACCCAATGTGACATCCTTCTTGTTGCCTTGTCCAAATTCAGGCCAATACCGAGTGACCTTTTCATCATACGACAAGTATCCTTTTTCCACAAGTTGTGCAATCACAATGGCAGTCTACAATAATACAATCCTTAAAAACACGAAACGTAATAAGCTATCCTTATGTACGACGTACCAGCATCTTGGTGCTCGAATAGACAATTTGTAAAGTGTTGGATGTATAGGGAATCTTGTTTTCAATATCCTGCCAACCTCCGTGCAAATCGAGGACAAGTTGATTATCCACATACGCTGCCACGCTGGCTCCAACATCTTCTCCTTGATAAAAGTTTTGTCTAAATGCCGTCGCGGCCTCTGCGAAATCTTCGTGAACATAGCCTTCAAAAGGTATCTCATATAGCAGATCGCATTGCATTCCAAGAATCGAACATGAAAGAGGAATAAAGGGTCCTTTGGTGAAGAATCGATAAAGTGCAGTCGTCAAAAGCGTGCATACGAGCACAAGGGCAGCCTGATAAGTATGGCGAAAGGTCCTCGATGATTCCTCTGCTGCCGTAGCCATAAAGAAAAAGTGTCAAGAAGTGAAAAAAAGCAAGGATGCTCAGCAGCTCATTTATATATAGAGAAGTGGGGGGATGATGATGATAACTGTGCCATGACATCAATCGACATTGAGAAAGCGAATGTTGGAATAAAGCAAGATGCATGATTGGTGGTACAACAAGAGCAAAACAAAGGTTATTGTTATAGGGAGAACTTAGAGTGCATGTTCATGGAGCAATTGTGCAACGTCCTTTCTGTAAATCATACAAAACAAGTACATAATGAGTGAGAGCGCCACAAATATTGACGACTTCTTACCGTTTCCCACTGATAATGTTTACCACGAGATCACTTTCTTTTTTGCCTCCTCGTTGTGAATCAATGACACGTCTGAATTGAGTGATTTGCGAAGAAAGATCCAAGGTATATCGCTCTATTATTGGTTTACGTTAACAAGAGAGAACCAAGCATTGTCGTCATAATGCTTACCATCCGGACCAGCAGAGACAACTTTCAAGCATATCAGGTAGCATGAACGGTGTAACAATCCAGGTTCAAGTTTGGAGACCTTGTCATCCGGCAGCTCCTTTGATGGCTCACAATGCTGGATGGCCAATTTTTGCTCTCTGGTATTATAGTGGATGGGTGATCGGACCAGTATTTTGCTGTAAGGTCGAATCTCACGCAGCTCAGGTGTCGATTCAAGGCATTCAGTGAATCGTGGTATAAGAGATGGCATTTTGATAAGCCTAACCAATTGAATTCTTTTTAGCATCCTCATTGATATGTGTTCTTGTGATTTAATTACCAGCTCTCATGTGTGGAACAAGTATCGGCATTCACGATAATCTTGATAAAGTGCTTATAGCCTGTCAAGAGGTTCAATGGCTTGAAGAGTTTGGGTAGCATCTTGTCTTGGCTTTGCTGGGAGGATAGCACCAAATGGGCTACATGGATCAACATCATTGAGTAAGCCATTCATGATGATCATCCACAATAATAACCCTACCTCGAATCAATTCGTTGGATAATGCTTTGAGGGTAGACTTTGTAACTGCTGGTGCAGCATTCTTTACAGGGTAACATGGAGTAACAATCGGCATCACTGCATTCTCGAATTGCGTCTATTATTGATGATGATTAATAGGGTAATCCATGTTGGGCGCGGTAAATGACGTATGCTTACCAAAGAGCGGTATTCAATGCGTGTCCCGCTGTAGCTAGGTATCAAGTCGGTCAAAATGACGGGAGCTGTCCAAGGCCAGTTGGCCCACATGTTGAAAAATGAGAGTAATAACTCCATCACTGTCACTGAAGCTCCTGGAGATTGTTGTTGATAGGTCATATATGTCTTGAGCAGTAGTAAGGTCCACGCCATTCCATTCAAATAGCCCATCTGCTTGTCGTAGATATCTCGTTGCCTTGCCCAATATTTTACTGCCTGGATCGCAAGTCGAAATGTGGGTATATCCGTGTCTCGCACTTGTTGCATAATGAATTGCATCGTACGAGGTCCTAGTTTTTATACCTGCCGCTATTAGTACGATATTCATTGTCTGTGCCCTTCCATATATGTAACACTTACCATCCAATGATCGTAAGCATCCTTCATCAAGTCCTTCCAAGAGCGCGTTATCCAAAAGATTGATGTCATGTGGTATTGCTGCGATCTTCAATCGAACAAAAGAAATATCGACCTAATCACAATATGAGCAACATGTACCACCTTAGCACAAGATTCATGCTTACCGGTATGCTATCCACTGTACATCGAATAATAGGCACTTTGGCATCTGCTACCACCTTTACCCAAGTATTAGTACATAGAATCAGATACAAGAATGGTCATGATATTATTACCTCGACATCTTCAATAGTAGCTTGATCCTTTAAAAGGTCGGGAAAGAAAAGGAAAAAGTCGCGTCGTCGCACATGAGCAGCACCCAGGAATACAAGATCCATATCACTGTCGGCCAAGTGAGCACCCAACCCATACGATCCAAAGGGCATAATCTGACAATCGATCTCGTCGGCTTTGATGTTGTGTTCCCAGGCAATCTCTTCGCTTAGACGAGGGATCAATAGACGTAAGAGGCTCAAGACCATTTCCCTTTAAACGACGCATGAGTTTGCCTGCTGCTGGTGAATGGGTTGCCGCATGTTCTCATTTACCGTTTTCTCAAGTGGGCATGGCTTTCAATCACGCGATGGCTGAGAAGATAATCATCCATATCGACTCACAAGCAAGGAAAGAAAGGTACCTAATGCGTCAAGTCAATTTATCATTTCCTGACAACCTCCCCCCCCCACACACACACGCCCCGCCCAGCGGCTCCCTATCACCTGGTCTACCATCGGCATGAATTTTTACTGATCACGCATACACGCACGCACGCACACGGTATCCCTTGACTACCATCATCCCATCCTCATCCTTAACGACCGCTACTTGTATGAAAAGGTTATTTATTCTTTTGATACCTTAAGAACCTGAAACCTTCTCGTTAACAAGTTGAAGATGGATCCAAAGAAAAGAGCAATGACAGTACACGTCAACGTGATCACATTGTAAGGCATGGAGAAATCGGGGGTAGGTAAGCTGACAAGGAGGGTATCCGTATAAATTCGCATCGTACGATTGTCACTAATGAACATTGGTTAATAGTAGTTCACTAAGGATTCGATGTCATGCATACTCACACTTCATCCAATATGGGCGCTGTGATGACAGCAGGCCTAGAAGCATTACGTTTAGTTTCCTTACTCATTCCTGCACATATATAAAGCTCACCCAATATCGAAACCTCGGTTCGCATCAGGTCGATGTTCTGTGTACTTTAAAAATACTTTGTCCAAGTCCATCGATAAAGTGACAGTGGATCTTGCTGGTAGTAAGAGTTTGCATTCAAGCATGGAAGGTCTTGCTCTATCAACAGCGGGTTGATATAACATTTGCTCGACAATGTCTACTTCGCACAAGAATAAGTACAATGATCACAACAAATCCTCGAACACACTCTTACCATTTTGTGGGTTGTTGTTGTCCCCTACCACTTGAATATCCAAGGTATGCAGATATAGCTTGAGAAACCAGGGTATGGAATCATAGTACACAATAGGCATAGGAGCATCGTGACGATTTTGAAGAGTGACTTGGATACCACCTCGTTCTTGGCCATGTCCGGTAAGATAACGATGAGCCGATATCATGGGAAGAGCGGATGCAAGTGCTAGTAGTACATCTGGTTAACCACCAAGCATATCCCCGATATGGTTCAATACATACGATAATGGAAGGTATCTTCGGCCCAGGTCATGCGGATATCCAAACTCTCATTCACTGTAACACACACACACACACATGTCAGATCATCGCCACCATCATCAAAATATACGTCTTTGACATACCTTGTTTCAAATCATACATGATAAAATCCTTTCCTTTCATGGTGGGTTCAGGACTTAGAATGGCGTCATCATCATTCACCGCGACACGAATGAAACTTTGATTTGCTACAGGACACGCTCCATGAGGTACACGAGCAAAAACCTCTTCCAATGACCAATCTAAGATGTCACAAAGTCAATATAGATTCCCTCCTCCATTGGTATGTATATAATGTTTTACCTCTTCGATTCGTGTCACGAACAGGATCCATCACCGAGACAACAGCTTGCTTGAGCTCCATTGTACATTGGTTATCCTATGATTTTCAATATCAATCACAATGTCTCCCTTGCAAGAATGAGTAGTAGCCTTCTTTGGTCAAGTACTTGCCTTGCATTGTCGTTTAGCATGGATGGACATGGAATGGAAATAGGAGTTGTATATCTTGTGTGCGTTCAATAAAGATGCAATGCCAGACTAGATGCCATCTTAGTAAAATGAAAAGGATCATTGATCACATCAACAATTTTACCTTTGCCTTGCAAGGCAATAGCTTGATCCATGGTGTAAGATTTTCAGTGCAAACGTTTTCATGGGGCAGATAACCGAATCGCAATTGAGAAGTTGATTTTGTGGCATCATCTGGACCAAAGGATAAGGCAGGTTGTGTGGTCAATGTTTCATCGATGAAATTGAGCGAGGCACAGAATAGACCCGATAACGTATTGGTAAGCGAATGCCATCGTGCATCAATGCTGCATGAAAGTAAAAAAAGTGTCAGCTCATTCAACACAAAACCACCTCTCTTCCCATGGATCTTACTTTGTATGGTTTTGCATCCAAGCCCACAACTCGACACCTGTTCCTGCAGATTGCTCTGGTGGATATCCCCAATGATCATAATGCCATCGTCCTTGAGAAAAGGTAAGATGCATTTCATCCACGTCGTATTGTTGCAGCACTTGTCCAATGACTTTGGGGAAAAGATTATAATCCAATACTATGCTTGCTTGTTAGCTACTATGCGATGCAAAAGGGGGGGTTTGAGGACGTCGTCAGCTTACACTGTGATCCAGGAGCCATCGTGGCATCGACGTGTGTAGTAAAGTCGAAATGGGCGAGCAGTTTACCATCCGGCAGCGATCGTAAGGTCAAGTCCTCATCGAAGCGTTCATTGTATGACCTGGCCAAGGATAAAGCTGCCTGAAGAATGACAAGACCACCAATGACGTGAAGACGCATTCTGTGGACACCAGGATGATACAGCAGCTTTTGGTAACCTGTTCTCTAAATGCACGCGAATCCAGCCAATGATAACAGCTGAACATTATCCACGCCCGTCCACCTGTTGTTATGCAGCCATCCTATGAACCCTGATTACATCCCTCGCCCTGCAATAAACAACACGCTATGTAACATGATCATTTACAATGAATAAAGAGTCATCCGAAAAAAGAGGATTTGCATGAAATTGTAACAAAGTATGCTCTTTTGGTACGACACGACCTCCACCACGGCCTAAATTCCTTGATCCCACACCTACCCACTCGTCCAATCGCACCCACCAAGAAGCATCAATATGAGTCAAGATGTTTATGGGTACAACGAATAGACTAGTCATATCAAAATTCATTTGCAGCTTGTTCCTATCCCTCCCAATGACTCATTGCAAAATGGTTATTAGATTTCGCGTCGTATGGATGTGTGTACGCTATGCGTGTAGAAAAAAGAGGGTAGAGATCCACAACTGGTCTAGGACGTACGGCGAATATCGGGAACACTGGATACGGAAAAACTCTCAACAGAGGGCAGTGTCCCATTGTAACATCGTGCGTGTATGTATGGTGTCATCGGATCAAAAAGGTCATCTGAAAATGAAAAATCTCATCTTGTTCCCTCTATTTTTCCATCATTTCCAAGATGGATCCGTTACCTTGGTCCCTGAAAGAGCTATCCCTAAAATAGCCGAATTGGTCTGTGTACATATGGCAGCAGCAGCAGCAGCAGCGGGATTTTCTTGTGCGTGTGTGAGGGTGTTTCAATAAGCCACCTAGATTCAAAGGGCATTTATTTATCTCTTTGCACCCCCTTTTTTTTGCTTTTGTTTTATTGATCTACTGTTTACGGCCCACCATCTGTGCGCACATCCATACATGTCCAGTGTTACAAGCAAAGACAGCAATGAGTTTCAGCACCCTCCTCCTCCAGTAGGCAGGGGCAAGGGTGTCTACCTTTCAGCTATTGTAGCTGCCATCGGTGGTTTTCTTTCTGGTTATGACACTGGCGCTACCAGTGGTGTGCTTACCATGGAACCGTTTGTCAACCGCTTTTTTTCTCCCGAAAACCTTGCCTATCTTCAAGGTCTCATGTTGGCCTTTTTCCTCATGACGGCGGCATTAGCAGCCTTTTGTTCTGGTCCTGTATGCGGTACGTGTATATACATGCTTTTATTTTATTGCCCGCTGCATGATGGGCTAATTTCTTCTCTACTACTACTACTAGATCGATTGAGTCGCAAGTACAGTGTAGTATTGTCCGCCACATTCTTCTGTATTGGCAACATGTTCATGGTCATTGGCTATAACTATGGCTTGTTCTTGGCAGGTCGTCTTGTTGCTGGTATTGGTGCTGGTCTTATGACAAAGTAAGTGGATCGAAAAAAAAGAGATGTAGATGGGTCCATATGATTCTCACACCTATCATCTTCTAGTGCCATTCCTTTGTACCACTCTGAAATCGCTCCACCAGAAATTCGTGGTCGTTTGATCAGCTTCTTCACCCTGATGAGTCTCTTTGGTCAAGTCGTTGGTTACTTTATTACCTTTGGCACCAGCCACTTGAGTACCGATTGGTCATGGCGTGCTCCTTACATGATGCAATGTCTTTTGGCAGTGATCTTTGGATTGAGCATGTTGCCTATGCCTTACTCCCCTCGCTGGCTTGTTTATCGTGGTCGTCAAGAAGAAGCTCTTGCATCCTTGGTATCATTGCGTGACGTGGATGCTGAGAATCCCATCATCAAACAAGAATACCAGGAAATCGTCGACGAATTGGAATTCGAAAAATCACTTGGCAAACGTAGCTACCTCGAGCTTTTTGAACGCAAGAACCGTAAACAATTCTTCTCGGCCTTGTTTGTTGGCATTGGAACAGCTTTCCTTGGTACCGTGGCTATTTGTAAGTATGAAGAGGATGACCGTGGGATGAGAGCATGATGACTAAAGCATCCTCCTGTAGCCTATTTTGCACCTCAAATCTTCCAAGCTGCTGGTTTGTCGGATGTATCATCATCCATTGCTGCTACAGGTGGTACTGGTTTGTTGTCATTGGTGCTCGCTGGTGTCTCTCTTCAATGGTTGGTGGATTCCTTGGGCCGTCGTATCCTCTTCATCACTGGTGCAGGTGCCATGGGCGTCAGCATGTTTATTGTGGGCGCTATCTTTCAAGTCTACACGCAAGTGGATCCTGTTTCAGGCGATGTCAGCATTACCAACACCAATGCCACCAACACCATTATTGCTTTCATCTATCTCTTCACTGGTTTCTATGCATTGACTTGGGGCATCACCACCTACGTGTATCCATCGGAGGTCTTCAACATGCGTGTTCGTGCCAAGGGCATGAGCTTGTGCTTTGGTTTCAATTGGGGCTTCACTATCCTAATCACCTATTGTATGCCACTCTTTTTGGAACACACCGTATCAGGCGTCTATTTCTTTTTCGGTGCATGCTGTATCGTTTGTATGGTGGGTGCCTTTTTCCTTCCAGAAACCAAATGCAAGCCACTTGAAGAGATGGACAGCGTCTTTGGCACCAAATGATGGACGCTTTCACCAGGTATATGATATCCTCCTTATGTACACTCTACAACACAACACACACTACTCTTTTTATTAGTATAGAATAAAACCACAAACTGCTGGGGTCACGGTGCCGTCTTCTGTCGACTTTTCATCTCCTTCGCTTCATGTTCTTTGTAACATGTTGGGGATACGAGATGAAAGTAGATGGAATGATAAGCCCGTGCTTGTTTGAAATCGTGAATTCAAGGGGTGCTGCACGTCTAGCTAGGGAAACCTGCAGTGTGCGGCTGAGACTTTACCCTCATTAGCGGATCAGGATAATGCCTGCGTCGCGATGAATGCCACGATTTTTAGACAGGGACATTGGGGGAGAAGTAACTAGTGCTGGTATTTAGGTACTTCTCAACTCGTAGGACATGGGAAGGTGTGAGTGAGTGAGTGAGTGAGTTGGTTGGGTGGAAGGTTTGATGTCTTTTACGAGGTCCCTGTCAATGGAAGATTAGGAGCGTGCTTGAGTGAACTTGAGCTCGTGGCAATGAGGGAAAGGATGGCACATGCATGGGATTTTCCATAGGATGAGAATGGGTGGTTATATTTGGTTGCTTGCTTTAGGGGGGTTGATTGTTATCGAGATTACAGAAATAAACTTCTCTTTGTATACAAAAATGATGGCATGTGATGACACCAATGTTTATTGTTTACGTTTTAGCCACGTGTAAAAAAAAGGGATTGCTTTCACATTTCCAATTTACACGATGAATTGATTCTTTACATTGGACCAATTCCAGCCAAGACCATTGAGTCTCGCAACTCGCATGATGATACGATAGCTGGTGTTGAACTTGTTTCACAAAGGCTGTGACTTTGCAAAAGCGGTACTTTTGCTGCTTTGCTTGCCTGCCCCTGCAGGCCCGATCGGGTCGAGAAAATAATTAGCAGTAACGGCTGTGTTTTTTGTTTTCCTTTCTTCTTCACTACTCTTCTTTACTACAACCCCCCACTCGTACATTATCTAAAATGGCTGTCCCCGAAGGTAACGCTACTGCTGGTGCCAAGCTCTTCAAGACCCGCTGCGCTCAATGCCACACCGTTGAGGCTGTATGTGTTGATTTTTGATCATTTTTTTAAAATCTTGTGGTGATGATGATACTGATACAACATGGCTTGCATATAGGGTGGTCCCCACAAGGTTGGTCCCAACCTTCACGGTGTCTTTGGACGCAAGTCCGGTCAAGCTGCTGGCTACTCCTACACCGATGCCAACAAGAACAAGGGTGTTGAGTGGAACGACCAAACCATGTTCGACGTAAGTGTGATACGATGATGCTTTCTTGATGATCATGTTGATTGAAGGCTTTGTCATAGTACTTGGAGAACCCCAAGAAGTACATCCCTGGTACCAAGATGGCTTTCGCTGGTTTCAAGAAGCCCAAGGACCGTGCTGACGTTGTCGCCTACTTGAAGGTAACGATGAAATTACTCTTTTCGAAAAAGCTAAACATGCTGATCCCGTTCTTTTATCACTCTTATAGGAGGCTACTGCTTAAGTAGACAACATATTACCTGCATAGACCCATTTTACATTTCGACTCGCTTAGTCTTGTGATTAAAAAAGAAGGAATGTTAGACTTTTGTAAATGACTGCATGGCACCTATTTGCTCATTCATGAATGAGATCATGTGACTTTTTGATTGAAGGGCAAGACGAGAGGAAGACACGTACCGGGGGTTATTATAAGAGAACGGTCAACGAAAAGCAGGGCGATGTTTTCTCTTAGTTGTTCTAGGCTACCGGGTGGGCCTATTTATCAATAGGACTTTTGGAATGAGGGTAGGTGAAAATGACAAGCTTCCATTTCGGAGTAACGTATCTGTCTGCATAAAGGATTATCCTCTTTGCAATCATATGCTGGCATGGTTTGCCTTTGATTATTGAATATGCACACTTGAAATGCTCTTGATCCTTTGTCATTTCCTTTGGAGCAAACTTGCATTGAATTTGTAAGACTTGGTTGTTACTAAAAAAGATGGTCTATGAGGATGGCCCCACCTAGATCATCGTTGGACACAGCCATTCAAAACGTTCATCGTGAAGTGTGGGTCTTTATAAAGACAGTGTTGATCAGCATGCCCAAGAGCATCTTGTGTAAAAGCTTGAGGTGCGAGAGGAGCAATCTCATAATCAAGGATTGATGTACAGTGTTCATGCATTTATACAAGAAGAGGTGTCCGACCTATTTAATTTCCACTTCTTCCACTCCACAACTTCTTGTCTCTTCCTCCCATTCTCAACTGTTGGCCCATTCAAGTATACAATTACCACCTGCGAACGATTGTCCTGCTTCAACCCATCATGTCGATCCTACAATTGCCTTGATCCGATTGCCTTTGACTGGATGGCAAGTCCATGGCGTGTACACAGCCTTCTTGTCACTCTTCTACAACACACGCATCTCTCGATACGACACGCTCTCTTGCACGATCCTCTGCCACGATCAACCGCAACAGCATTCATTGCAGCTGTTACCATTAGCAAGGTCTTCATTGTCTCAATCAGCGTTTTTGCCTTGCAGCCTTTTTCACGTGAACAGCAGCTAGCCATTGTACACAAGCAGCTTTAGTTACGTGTAGCAACTTGCTTCAATACGTACGGATCTTATGGATGATGCCATATCAGCTATCTAATACGCTGCAATACAAGCACTCTTCGCCTGGTTGAGCTGCGATGGAAAATGACCAAGAAAGAGATACATCAACAGCAGGATGGGAAAGGAAGCATATCAGCAGCGATCACATGGCTCTTTTAAACCAACGTATTGGATTTGCAATGGTTATGGATGGATGCAATCAAGGACATTGGCGTCCTGGAATGTTGCTTTGGTTACTTGGCGCGTCATCAGCAGTAAGGATACATCATGTCATGTGGATGCGGCCGAGAATGATGATGGATGGGATGGCATTGTTGAGAAGGCTTATTTTTTCACGAGAAGCAGTTTACAGCCATGGATGGGGGATTGGAGTACTCGATCTTTTTCGGATAATGGAGCAGAGGCATGGTATGAGCTTATGGTTGGAAGCACTTGACAGCATAGAATTGATTGTATATCCTTATCTACAAGATTCATCGACACAAACACGAAGGCACATGAGGCACCGACACTGGTCTTACTTGATGCTACTTATGCTGGATGGCATGGAGGATTTTATAATGGTAAGGAGATGAAGGGAAGGATCAAGGATAGCTTCAAGGTCATTGTACATATCGCCTTGGCTGTATGGGATTGAAATGGATCTGCTGGACGGGATGCTTCTTGATGGTGCATAGCTAGATATTGTAGCTAGCGGACGTTGACGTTTTTATAAAAGCACGTACTACTGTAAACTATTGAACCATGATCCGTATGCTGATTGATGACAAAAAATATAAACAAGGAAGGGATGAATGGGTTATCAGGTGCAATGGTGGATGCGCTAAGATAAGGACAGATACACAAATATGAAAAGTGAGGGCGAGAGAAGAACGCTACTGCTGGAAAGCATTGCCTGGATTATTGGATATACTGCGAGGGTCATACAACATTTGAGCGGGCCCTGTCATTACCTGCACATCTACATCCAATGCTTAAATCACGACACGACAAAGAATTGTCCTATGCCACAAGGGCATAAACCCAACATATTAGAAGACCGCAGACCGGTACAAACGTTGTTGTTACCCAAGCAACGATAACCTTGTCATAGCAACATGTGCACCATACATTACGATGGATAATGCTATTATATCGGAGGAATAGATTAGACATGGATCATTTGTTGCACAAATGGATGATTGCTGAAGGTCAGCTAAAGAGTGCACGGACCATGTTGTCAAGGAGATTGCATTATTGTCGGTGAGTTAAAAGGCTATTACCATCATTGTCTGCACGTGTAAATGGCCATCAGAGTCGTTTTATTGATACAAACAACAGCTAATGATATCTCTGTTGCGTTCACGTCAAGACGATGCATGCTATCCAGAGGCACGTGCCTTGATCGACATTTGTATGGTATCGCGAGCAGGAGCAGGACGAAAACACGGTACACTGCAAGATACCACTAACGTGAGGTATGGACCACAGCGATAACGATACGAGGACAAGCAAATTAAAATAGCTGTAATCACAAAGGCAGCTCGAAGACCATTGGCAACGTTCTCCATTCCAAGCGTTCTTGATCCCAAAGCAACAACAAACAACACGCGCGATTCCAACGCGACTCTATTGCCATGGCAACACAG